AATCGTGTTCGTTCAATAAATAATATTAATATTATTCCACAAGCTTCTCAAACAATACTTTATTGGATGTCACGTGATCAACGTATACAAGATAATTGGGCTATGCTATATGCACAAAGACTTGCACTTAAACAAAAACTTCCATTACATATTGTATTTTGTTTAGTACCAACATTTTTAGCTGCACCATTACGTGCTTATCGTTTCATGTTAAAAGGTTTACATGAAATTGAAAAAGAATGTCAACAATTAAATATTATATTTCATTTATTAATTGGTAAATCTGAAAATGTTTTACCAAAATTTATTGAAAATTATAAAGTTGGAACAATAATTACAGATTTTTCACCATTACGTGTATCACGTCAATGGGTAGAAAATGTTGGAAAAAAAATTACAACAATACCCGTTGTACAAGTAAATTAACAAATATTTAAAGAACAATTTTATACATATATACACCATAGGTGGATGCACATAATGTTGTACCTTGTTGGCATGCATCAAATAAACTTGAATATGGTGCACGTACAATCCGAAATAAACTTCATCAACATATGAATGCATTTTTTACTGAATATCCTCCAGTTATTAAACATCCATATACATCATCTAAGGATCATCAAATAAAACCAATTGATTGGCAAGCAGCTGATGATAGTTTACAAGTTGATCGAACTATTACTGAAGTTTCTTGGGCCACTCCTGGTAAAAATGATTCTTTGTTTTTCACTTAGAAAAAAACAAGAAAAAAATTCGGAGTAGAATTTTTGTTTTTCGTTTCCTAATAGGTTATAACGGTGGGATCGAACAATTAGAAAAATTTATTAATGAACGTGCTATGCATTTTGCTCTTGGACGTAATGATCCAAATAAAGGTGCTTTATCAAATCTTTCACCATGGTTTCATTATGGACAAATTAGTCCACAACGTGCATTACTTGTAGTAGCAAAATTACGATCAAAATTTAAAGATGCTTGTGATGCATTTATTGAAGAAGCATTTGTACGAAGAGAATTAAGTGATAATTATTGTTTTTATCAAGAAAATTGTAAGTTTAAAAAATGAAGAACTTGATCTTTGCTTGATATTTATTTTGAAGATGATAATATTGATGGTGCATGGGAATGGGCAAAAAAAACTTTAAATGATCATCGAAATGATAAACGAACACATTTATATAATCGTGATGATCTTGAATATGCTCGAACATATGATAAATTATGGAATGCATCACAAATTCAAATGATTAAAGAAGGTAAAATGCATGGTTTTTTACGTATGTATTGGGCAAAAAAAATTCTCGAATGGACAAAAACACCTGAAGAAGCTATTGAAATAGCTATTTATTTAAATGATAAATATAATCTTGATGGACGCGATCCAAATGGTTATGTTGGTATTATGTGGAGCATGTAAGAATGATTTATAATTTTTTCTTTTTTTGTATTATTAATTTTATTTATTTAAGTTGTGGAATTCATGATCAAGGTTGGAGAGAACGACCAGTTTTTGGTAAAATTCGTTATATGAATTATGAAGGATGTAAACGAAAATTTGATGTTAAACAATATGAAAACAAATATTCCAGTTTATAAATATTCAAGATATATGAAAACAGAAGTATTTCTAGTCATGTTATTTTCTTTTGATATTATTAACAACTATATAGATATTTCCTATTGATGAAAAATAACGACAATATTGTCTTCTCTTTTTCTTTCTTTTTTTTTTATCTATGTATTATCTTATGTAATTGGGCGTGCATGTGTTTCGTCTGGCCCTTTCGGCAACTTATTGAGTTAACTATGAAAGATTATCGATCGACTAGTTACTGTCTGTCTGTGCGTTATGTTAGAGGCAACATGTCATCTAAAACTGATTAGCACATCGAATAATTGTTTATTATTATTGTTGTTGTTATTCGGATAAAAACATGCCAAGTGTAGCATCCTAACATTCTAATCATTTTGACCATCATCATTTTGTCTGTTGATAAATGATGTTTGGCATAACAATGATTTTTCTTTTTCTCTGAATGAATGTTTGACGTAGCAGAAAATGTATTTTCTATGATAGGCGAGAATGATGAAGCTATTCAGATAAAACATAGATTAAAAACGAATATTTCATTTTCTATAGTTAACTGATGAGCATATATCATGTGTTGAACAAACCATGAGATAGACAAAAATAAGCTCATTAATGAACTTTGACATTTTCATATATATTGTTGTTTTTTAGCTCATTTATAACTTGACAATTCATCAGTCTATTGTTTCGACATAGTAAAAACGAATTAATTCTATTTAATAGTTGTTCGTAGAAACAAGAAAATGAATTATTACTTTTAATTCCTTCCGATTTTAAAATGTTACTTCCTATATATGAAGTTGAATGCTTTTTTCCCTAAGGAAACTTTCATTAAGAGGTAAACGGAAGAATAACATACATATATAGATGAAGCGAGACTTAGAAAAGGTCATTTATGTATATATACAAACAATGACTTGCTTCTAATCACTAGTATACACTTTTCATCTTTTGTTCTAATATTCAAACAGAAAAATAGACACACACATATATATATATAGCGATAAATTACAAACAAAAATCTAATTTTATAATACTTCTGGACGAATTCATGATGTAATCGATATATTAGTAATAAACGATGATGACAGATTGATTAAAAGACAATTTGACACTTCGAGACAGTTACATGCGTGCGCGCTCACACACATGTAGAAAAAGATGAACTTCAAACAAGAGGAAAAAAAAAGAGACAATGAAACATACCTTAATCGTGCATCTATATATTGTAATTTCAAAAGATAATTGAATTGAACTACAAACAGTAGTCGATCGATTCTAGTTACTACTTGTGAATTATTGTCTATTCTTTTTCTCTTTTTTTTCTTATCAATTTTTTCTTTTTCTTGTTCTTTCTCTCTCTTTCTCTCTCTCTCTCTCTCTCTCTCTCTCTCTCTCTCTCTCTCTCTCTTTTTGTGTCTGTTTGTTGGACATTGGTCATTGATTAGACGAGCAAAGAAGCAAAACGATACTTCTCTCTTTCTCCTCCTGATCCGTATCAACACATACACGTGTCAGTTAATGACCAACAATACAGTTAAATTTTGAACAATTTACAATTGTCTAAACAATAAAATGAAATCATTTCTCTATAGAAGATTATTCCTATCTTCGATAATGAATGTTCATTTACCTATATCTATTGGAAAGACAATACTACACTTTACATATATATACATACATTCTCATTCTTAATTTCCATAGCAAACAACATATATGTTTTTGTTGTTGTTCTTCTTGTTCTTGTTGGGGTTAAATTTCAAAAGTCTATTCACGCGTTAAACGAGTCTCAAGTTGATTCGTATACTGATAAGTTCAAGACAACTTTTACGATTGATCAAAAAAAGAAAAAGAAAAACTATATATCTCTAATCGCTTGTCAATTAAATATTCTGCATCGTTGAATATTATTATTTTTTCTTTTGTGTCTTATTATATAATATGAAATATATTTCAAGATATGTCTATCGAATTAGTAATTGATCATCCTTTCAAGGATAAAAGTACTTTTCTTTATTCTGTAAATGGATGTTGAAGTAGTTTCAAACATATGTTTAGCCGATAGGCATAACTTCTTTTTCTTTTTCTAGATTCATCATGTCTATAGATAATCATGAAGAATTACAAAAATTTATTGATTTAAATGAACATTATCGAACATATCTTGATGAACATAATAATAATCGTCCCGATGGACGAAAATTTCATGAAAATCGTTCAATACAAATACTTGAAAAATTTCTTCAACATTCCTATGGTTCATCAATGATTCGTTTTGGTAATACAACTGTTATATGTTCAATAACTGGTCAATTAGCAAAACCATCATTAAAATCTTTACGATCAGGTTTTATACAAACAGTTGTCTTATTACCACGTACACAAGCATGGTCAACATATGGTCGAAGACAACAAATTATTAATGAAAATTTAACATTAAGTCAACATTTACTTGATATTATTTATAAATCAAAATTAATTAATTTAGAAGATTTATGCATTGAAGAAGGTTCATATATGATTTATTATTTATTTCTATGAGAGAAAAAAAAATTATTTTTGATTTTGTTTTTCTAGGTAAATGGGTATGGTGTTTACAAATTGATTTTCAATGTTTAAATAATGATGGTAATTTATTTGATAGTTGTTTATTTGCTCTTAATGTTGCTTTACGTCATACATATTTTCCAACAGTTAAAATTGATCCTGATACACAAAAACCTTTAGTTTATACAAAAGAATTAAAACGTTTTGAATATAATCAACAACAAGAACCTCTATGTTGTACAATAGCTATTTTTGAATATGAACAAGAATATAAATTTTTAATTGATCCAACATTAGAAGAAGAAAATATAGCAAAATGTATTTTACATTATGTTTTATTAAAAAATGATCAAATATGTTTAATACATAAAACAAGTGGTGCACCATTTTCAATAGATAAATTTCATCAATGTTATTCATTTGCTCGAGAATATATTCTTGAATTACGTAGAAAACTTAATCAATGAACTGATTGACAATCAATGATTGAACACCTTTTTTTTTTCTTTTCCTTTTTGTTTTTTTGTTACTATTCTAACTTTGCGTGATTATGCATCAGACCGATGCGGTGACACATGTTCGCATTTGAACACCCACTGCATGTCTCGACGTTTGTCATCCCTTTCGATTTATTCATTAATGAGAAGACAACTTTTTCTAGTGAGAATTGGAAGACGAGACACATGTATTCAAAAATTAATCGTTTGACGGTCACTTAACCGTTAAGTAAAATATCGATACTATATAACTTTATTGATGATGATTAAAAAATAGAAATTGGTTTGATGAGAAAAACAAATGTCTTTCTATACATTTTCTCAGAAATGATAAATAAACTTTTTGTTTTCGTTTTAGATAAATGCTAACATTTTTGTGTGCTTTATTTTTTGTTGCAATAATTTTATTGGTCAGAAGATTACGTCGACCAAATATTGCAACACAAAGATGTGTTCATATTGTTGTTCTTGGTGATCTCGGTCGAAGTCCACGCATGTGTAATCATGCTATTGAATTTGATAAGCATAAATTCAATGTACATTTAATTGGTTATGCAGGTTGGTCACTTGAATATATGTTTCCGGCAACAAAAAGCATCTATTTAACAAGAAATAAAGAACTAACACTTAACGAAGAATACAGGGAGAAGTAAGAGAGTGACCGTCTGTTTTCTATCGTGTCACGAAACACACATACAAATGAACTGATGAAAAGATTAATAAATGAACATGACAAGACAGTGATGGAACTGGTTTGAATAGATTAGATTGGACCATACTGACTAGTAGTGTCCTACAGGAACGAAAACGATCTTAGAACATGGACATTCCAGAAACGAACCATTCTGTGTTTTGTGTAAATACTCTCTAAACTTTGCTCTTTTATAGACAAAAAATATGTCGAAGTTATTCGATGTTACATGATTGAGAAATAGATTTCGACATTCTTCGAAAGACTTTTGTATCGCTTATTAATTAAAAGAAAAATAACAAATATTTATCAATAAAAATAGGACAAAGTTCATAGATTATTTACAATTATCACAACTATTGCTATCTTTGTTACTATCAATTTCGAGAAAAGACTATTATTCATATTATCTCGCAATATAGCATGATTATTATCTACTGTTCTGGAATGATTCCTTTTTTTTTCATCAGTATTGCTGATGTAATAGTTTTTTTTTTCTCTTATCAATGGTTCAATTGACGAAGGAAATAATTCTCTTAGCTTAACCTTGAAAGTGTCTGCTGGCGCTAACTTTTTCTCGAACACGAAAAATCAAATCGTAATAAGAATTCTGAAAGTACTAGGAAAATGGAAACGACATTTTTTAAACAGGAATCAAAAAACGTCGTTCCTGCAGGACACTATCGATCGATCTGAAATTCGTATAGATACTTGTTCTGTCTATGGACAGTGTTATTAGATAAAGATTATTTTCACCATAACTTCATTGTTGGTTCTTCAATAGAAATTTTGAATAAATGTATATGATGAAAGCATTAAAATAAATAAGATCGACCAACCACTTTGGAATCCGATAGCGATTTTAATCTCTGTGACTAGGATATTGAGTAAAGGACGAGTGTATATCTATATATAAGAAATATTTTATTCTATTTAGAATCTAAACTTGGCCGGAAGATTTCTAATAATCAAAATATTCAAATATCTGACCTGAAACCGTTTCCAAAATTAAACGGTGAATAAAATTTTTTTTTCAAAATTTAAAATTATTCCTTTTAAATTTAAGTTTTACCAGCCGTATTAGTTTATGGTTTAAAAATATTATGGCAATTTGGTACACTTGTTTTTCGTCTTTCTCAATTACCTAAACCTGATTTAATTTGTGTTCAAGTAAGATTTATTACTTCGATTTATTTATTTATATAAATCTTGTTTGTTTTTTAAGAATCCACCGTCAATTCCAGCTATATTTGCAACATTTTTAATGGCAAAAATTCGTGGAGCTCGTTTAATAATTGATTGGCATAATTATGGATATTCAATGTTAGCATTAAAACATGGTTTTAAACATTGGATTGTTCATTTATGTCAACGATATGAATTTTTCCTTGGTCAATTAGCTAATATTAATATATGCGTATCGAATACATTTGCGAAAGATCTTAGTGTTCACACGATTAAGTAAATTATTGTTTGTTTTTTTTTTTTTTATGATAGAAATAAATTGATGATGTTTTCTGTCTTCGAAGGGCATCTGTGCTTTATGATAAACCAACAAATCTATTTCATATTCCTACAATAGAAGAAAAACATCGAATATTTATGAAAATGAATACACAATATGCTTATAAACCATTTCAAGGAAGGTATATTTAAACGAAAAATATATGTTTAATTATTAAGATTAAATTTTTCTTTTCTTTTTCTTTAAATAAATAGATCAAATAATTCAACTCGATTTACAAATGAAGATGAGAAAAATAATATTAGTTATTTACAAGATAGACCAGCTATTCTTGTAAGTAGTACAAGTTGGAGTGAAGATGAAAATTTTGAATTGCTATTTGATGCATTAAAAAGTATGTTATTGAAAATTATTTTAATAATGAAATTGAAAAATTCTCCTTCTCTTTTTAGAATATGCTTCTAATGAGATGAATAATTTACCATCAATTGTTTGTATTGTTACTGGTAAGAAGAAATTATTAGTCATATTTTCTTATTCTTCAAATTTGAAAATTATCATCTTGTTGAAGATTAAATCAATTCTATAGTTCTTTTCGTTTTTTTTTCGGTTCAATATTATTTCGAAGAATTTTATTGAAAATATTGCATTTGTTATAGGAAAAGGTCCATTAAAGGAACAATTTGTTGAACAAGTTGAACGTGAACGTGATCAATATCAACATGTTGAATTTTGTTTTCCATGGCTTGATGCTGATGATTATCCATTATTATTAGGTAGAATATGAATATCTTTTATTTCATAAGAGATGTGTTGAATTTCATGAGTTCTGAATATATGGAACTCTTAAAAATGCCACTTTACTCACAGAACTGAGCCAAGTCTCGGACCTCAAGCAACTCCAACAAGTGAAGCAATCCTAAGAACTCAAGAGTTTGTTAAAATTTAGATAACAGATTAATTCAAACACTACAGTTGAAATTGACATCGTCACGCTTTGCTTATTCATAAATTTTAAACAATTGCAGTAGTGTCTTACATAGAGAAATTCGAATTACCAGAAATGCTATGAGAAATGACAAATATACGGTACAATCCTTTTCGTAGATATTCAAATATGTGTGTGGCGATGGATGTAGAGAGATACGAAATCTAGAACCAGACCGATTTCACACCTACATTGACACCTTTCCGAGAGTTTTGTGAGTGAAGTTGCATTTTTGAGAGTTTCAAAAGTTTTGAACTCACATAGTCCGGGCACTGCTGTTTTGTACGTATAAATGATAGATATTTATTAAAAGGTTGTGCTGATATTGGTGTAAGTCTTCATCAATCTTCAAGTGGTTTTGATTTACCAATGAAAGTTGTTGATATGTTTGCTGTTGGTGTTCCAGTTTGTTCCGTTCAATATGATTGGTATGAATAATAAAATTGAATTGAAATAATTAGTTTGTTTTGTTTTTCTTGTGTTTAAAATAGTATTGATGAATTAGTAAAACGTGACCAAAATGGAATTATTTTTCAAGATGCTAATGATTTATGTGATCGACTACAGGTTTGAAGAGATGATTGATTGATGAAAATAATTGAATTTGTTTTTGTTTTTGTTTTGTTTTAAAGAGTTTACTTCATGGTTTTCCTGATCGCTGTTTAAAATTGAATAACTTGAAATCAAATTTAATTGCTAATCGATCAAATGAAAATTGGTCAAAAGAATGGGAATCAGTTATGAAACCTTTACTTCATTCAGAATCTATGTAAAAGATAATATTTATTCATCATCTTTATTTTAAATGATATTGTTGTTAAATTTCATGCTCAATTCTTTTTTTCTTATAAACTTCAAAACTATTTGTTGTGATGTAATTCTAAAACCGATGATTAGTGTTATAAATCGACTATTCTTTGTCTTATTATAACTTGAATGACGATCTTTCAAAGGAAATAAAAGATTATAATTCATTCTATCAAAAAGCATTGATTAGTATGTTTTTCAATTCAACTCTCAGACATCACTTGATGTAATGTTGGGGTTATCGATAGATCTCTATCAGTCGAATAGAATTATTCATCGTGGTTTTTTTTATGACACTATGATAATATTGATTTGAAATCAACATTTCTCAATATGTATTGAATTTTCTTAACGAAAAGCGTGAATCTTGATATAAAAAAAAATAAAGATCACATATGGCGAATTTGAATTGGCAAATAAGAAGAACGAATGACAAAAAAACAGACTATTTTAGGGTATAATGGGCAAGAGCTCTTAGTAGGTCATGAAGCAGAACTCTTGTAGATTTTTCTTTGCCTGATATCGGTATCTATTCACAGGCAAAATACAAAGTTAAATATGAAGTTAAAGATAGAAGTAAGAGTCACATGAGAAATGAACTCAACTATGATCTTTACTCTTACAATTATTAAACAAGTAAAAAATTTTACTTTATAGATTTATGGTTGATATTATCTACTAGCAAGTGTTCAAAACATATTAAGCTAATACAAGTGTTTGACAAATTCTCAATATGGATCATTAATGAGCTTGCTAGATATTTTGTTTTTGACAAAAGAATTACCTAAGTTAAAAATAATCGGACTTTAGATTGTATAAGATCTTATGTATGCAAGATTTTTCATGAAAATTTACAAAACGATCAATCAAGATCATGCTTTACTTACAAGAGCCGCTATAACGGCACACCAACCTGATCTTTTAAGATCAAATAAATTCTTTCATCAATGAAATATATCAAATCTTACAATACGAGTCTTGCACAATTGTACAAGATCGCATACAAAAGTCTGTCTGAAAATACGTGTCTATCAACGTGACTCAATCTCTTTTAGAGTCTTCAATTTCTAAATTAAAAACCAGTTGTTTTTATTATAATAGCAGAAATATATTTATCTAATTCCACACAAACATCTAAATGCACAGAAAGAAAGTGATTTATAGAATAAATGTAAGCATCGATTTAGATATAGATATGTCCCACTATAAACGATATATTCAACAAAGAGACACCGTTACATAATCAAGCATTGAGAAAACAACATGACAATGCAATGGTATAACCTGACACAAAAAATAATCGAGGGTAGACACTGATAAGAAAATATGTCAGAGCGAGGATATGAATACAATGGCGCCGGCGGAAACAGAATGGAAACTATTTTAAGAGTGAAAGGAAAAGTTGTAGTTATAAGAATATGAGCAAAAGAATTTAGTGATAAAAATATAGGTGACACTAGTATAGACCTACAGAGACAGCCATTGGAGTACAGGTCTAAAAGCATAGTTTTAAGGATAGAGGTACAAGGAGATAGCTATAAGAATATAGTCTTCAGGGTATAACTATAAAGATAAAATGTATAAAAGCGTAGATGTAAGTATATGGTTACATTGAGTTACGCACTGACCTTCAATAATGGCTATCTATGCATAGTCATTGTGTGTTCAATTTGAATTGAGCATTTCAATTACTGTTATTTAACAGAGCTCTTAGGAGTTGTAAATTATTTTAACAGGATGAAACATATAGTGAAATTCAACAGTATGATATTCTATGATCATAGAAGATCATATTGTCGAATCGTATGCTCAGCTTAGTGTAAGGTTCGATGCAATATTTTTAAGGCCACAACTTTGCGTACGATTTTTGGCTTGATCTTGAAGTAAGACCTGATACGAACGTACTAGAATCTGTCACGAATCTTATTGTTCGATTTTTTTCACCTCTGAGCCTAAATAATTCTCTATCATTCTAACCACTTGTTTTTAATATTAAAAACAATTCTTAAAATAAGAAGTAAATTAATCCTGGTAGATCTATAATAATAATAACTTTAAATCAAATATTTCTATAATATCCTGTAGATGTCATTATTCTTCACGTAAAATGTTTGTTAGTTTGCATTTCTATGTAATCCTATTGCGGAAAAGGTAGAGTTCAGGTAACAACGTCCATAATGAAGTGGCCTATCGGCTATATGACAGTTCAATAAATTAACTGCAGAAAAAAAATAGATTTCGATTTATAGTATTTCGTGTTTGTATGAAATGTCTTCTTCCTACGTGAACTGATATACGCTCAATATAAAATTTTGTAAAAAAAAATCTTCTCTATTCTATTTATAAGTATTTAAATAATACTCTTATTGAATTATGGATAAATATAAAATACAAAAACAACTTGGTGATGGGACATATGGAAGTGTATTACTTGCTCATATTAAAGATTCACCACAAGAAAAAGTTGCTATTAAACGGTAATTATATTTTATAGGAATTCTATTTTAATTATTTATTTTTACATATTTATTTATGATTTAGAATGAAAAAGAAATACTGTAAGTAATAATTTAAATAGATTTACATATGAAATGAACCTTTTATAGATTCATGGCAAGAATGTATGGATTTACGAGAAATCAAAGTATGAATTTAATTTGTTTATAAACAAGAACAAATAATAATTATTCTTTTTCTCTTTAAAGGCTTTACAAAAAATTCGTCATCCAAATGTTATTAAATTAAAAGAAGTTATTCGAGAAGATAATAATTTATATATGATTTTTGAGGTTATTTTCTTCATATGATTAACTATACAATAATTTTTGTTGTATTTTTTATTAGTATATGAATGAAAATCTTTATGAATTAATGAAAAAGCGGTAAATATATTTTACCACTAATGATTATTCTGTATAAATCTACTATGTATAGTGATCGACTATTTCCTGAAACCAATGTTCGTAATGTGATATTTCAAATTTTTCAGGGTTTATCTTATATGCATAAACTTGGTGAGAATATTTTTTTGTTAATATAAGAATATTCTTTTATCTAAAGAAATATTATCAATGATTTTGATTTTTTGCTTATTTTTAAGGATTTTTCCATCGTGATTTAAAGCCAGAAAATATATTATGCAAAGGTGTTGAATTGATTAAGATAGCTGATTTTGGTCTTGCTCGTGAACTTCGGTCGAGACCTCCTTATACTGATTAGTAAATATTTATTTGTTTGTTTATTTAAAGAAACCTTAATAAATAAAATAATTTAGTGTTTCTACACGATGGTATCGTGCTCCTGAGGTGCTACTTCGTTCGACTTCATACACGTCTCCAATTGATATATGGGCAGGTAAAACAAAGCACATCACATCTCATCATTGTATATAAATATATGTAATAAATTCAATTCTTTAGTTGGATGTATTGCTGCAGAATTATATACATTAAGGCCATTATTTCCTGGAAGTAGTGAAATTGATCAAATGTTTAAAATTTGTGCTGTTATGGGTACACCGAATAGAGTCAGTTACTTTTTTTCTATAATCAAATTTTTGTTGTTGTTTATGAAAGAATTTTAAAATTTAGGATGAATGGCCTGAAGGTCATATGTTAGCAGCTAAATTATCATTTCGTTGGCCACAATGTGCTCGAACAGATTTAAAAAAAATAATTCATAGTGCAAATAATGATGGTATTGATATGATTAAGGCAACACTTGAATGGGATTCGAAACGACGACCAAATGCAGCACAAGTATAAAAAAATATTTTCCATAAAATAAATTTTTTTCAATTTTTATCATTTCTTTAGTGTTTAAAACATCCATATTTTAAAGTAAGTCAAGATGCAACAACAACACATTTACATGTATCAACCAGTAATGATTCGCCATCAATAAATTCAGCAAGATCTCGTGATTCCAAGCCAATATTTGCAGATGATTGGGACGCAGATGGAGTAAGAAAAATATCAGACTACTCGAAAAATTTTGAGAAAATTTTTTTTTTCATTTTGAACTAACTTAAAAGTTATAAATTATGAAAACAAACACATTGTGCACTTTCTGAATATTTTGATGAAGAAAAATTCCTTTCGACAGAAGATTTTGTGATGAATTAAAGTATGAGAAAAAAAGTTCTCAGGAAATTCTACTATCGATAGATTCTTGCAACTACCACTTCAAAGGGTATGGTAGTGTACTTATTGGGCAATGATAAAGGTTCTAATTTAAGAAATACGAGATAGTCAATAAAGGAGCTTTGTTATGTGCGTTTTTAAGTTCTCAAAAAAAGAAACAATTCCTTAATGTTAAATAATCATAATATGAAACAGATTTCTTTCTTCTTATATATTTGTGTGAGCAAGTCCAAATAAAGCGAGTATCGTGATCACACGAACATTTCTCTTATCAAGTTCGTCACATACAATTCACTAGTGTTCAGGCTTTTCGTTTTTATTTTTGTATTTTTTCATGTGTAGAAAAAAAGCTTAATGATATTTTTACATTTATATTTCTCGTGTTTCTTAATCTAGAACCTTAACCTTTGCACATTAAGTACACTGTCTTTAAAATGACTATATATTTGTAGTGAAGTAAGAGCAAAGATGCATCGATAGGAAACTTTCTGAGAACTTTTTAATGTTTTTCTTTTCTGAATGTGAAACTAATATTTAAAACTTTGCTTACTATGCCAGTGTGTCAAGTAAAATATACTATTTCAGAAGGATTTTAGTGTTTCAATATAGTATTTTAAATTTTGAAACATTGATTTTTTTTCTCTGTAGAGAAGTCTTCAGCTAATGAAAGTTGTTTGTATCCCGAGCAGACAAACTTTTCAGAAAACGCGTTTAAACGCACAGAAATTGGCCTAAAATCCACAAAAAACGTTTTTGGCTCACATTCGCGGTTCCCGACTGTGAGCCAAAAACGTTTTTTGTGGATTTTAGGCCAATTTCTGTGCATTTAAACGCGTTTTCTGGAAAGTTTGTCTGCCTGGGATCTTCGCAAAGATGCCTACAGTCATAAGCAGAATTTAACACAAAATTTATGACCTTAGATTGAGAAAGAGCATGAGATACTACTCCAAAAATAGACTTTTAATCGAACTAAATTGAAAAAAAAAACTTTGTCTAGACACATTTGTGCATCTATTAATTCTGTAGGAAAAACAATGTCTTTTTAATTTTTAGAACAAAACTCCATCGAGTCCCGATGATATGCATGATATAGATGCATTGTTAAAAAAAATGGAACAACAGAAAAAACCTATTATAAAAGAAAAAAATCCTCAACAAGAAAAATCAGCAATACCAAATTTTTCTACATTTCATAAAAACGATGCACCGATCTCAGATAATCAAAAAGGGAATATACCAAATCCAAATTTTTCTTTTGCTACTGAACAACGTCGAACATTAAATTTTAAACAACCATCTAAAATACAAGTTGATCAATCGTTGGATATAGATGATATTTTATACGGTCGATCAATTCAATCACAACAACCATCACATTTAAAACCTTCAATACAACCAGTAAAAAATTCAGCTGCATCAACAAGAAGAGATAGTTTATCAGATTTATTAAATGAAGATCGAAAAGTAACAACAAAAAATCATCTTAATCAACCATCAAATATATTTACACATAAAGTAACAACAAATGTACGTGGTAAACCGGTCATTGATCTTAATCCAGATGATTTTTTTTCTAATACAAATAATCGAGATCAAAGTGCAACTAAAGCATCATTAGCAACAACGAAAACATCCGCTAGCCATTATTATTTAGGAAGTTCAAGATATAAACCAGGTGAAATTTTTAATATTTTAATTAAAAAAAGTCTTTACTCTTCAATTATTTTAGGTATTATTCCTAAACAAACAGTACGTAATGATGGGTTTAATTGGCTTACGGAACCATCAAATAATAGTAATGCAGCAGGTATGACATTTTTTAGAATAGTTATTAAATAATTTTATTATTTAATATTATCTAGCTCGTGGTCCAAAATTATCATCCTATGTACCAACATTTGGTGATCAGAGAAAACGTATGCTAGAAAACGTTTTTGCTTTTTATTCTTGTTTATTATCTTGTATTTACTATATAGCAGCAGCTCAACAAGCTCCAACAATTTTTGGTGATTGGACTCGGTAAAAATTTATTTATTATTTTTCATATTTATAGTTTTTTTCTAAATTTCTTTTAGTCATGGTCAATAATCATATTCAGTTTATTTTTTTTCGTATTTATACGGAACATCGGTTTTTCTTTCTCATTTCTATCTTGCATACCAAAAAACTAAACATAAATGACTCTCCCTTCATTTCAACATATTTATGCTTTTCATGTTTGCACATGTATACATATATATTTATATTGTTAAATTTTTTAACAAATTCTTCTCTATTATGATATCTCACGTTGTAACAGTGAATCAAATACAATATTGACATGACCATATTTGTCTATTAACAATACAACAAAACAAACAAAAAAAGAAATATTTCTGTAAAACATCAAAAACTAAATGATTTTCTACTTTACTCTTTTTTTTCTCGTGTATGTTATCACACGATGTTCGTGGAGACAAGTATAAGTATAGACAACTATTGAGTGAATTTTGTTTGTTTAATAAAGAATAATTCATATATTTTTTCCATATTTAATAAATGTTTATATTAACTCAATGTTTATGCTCATTATTGATGTTTGTTAATCATTTTTCGACAGAGAAAATTTTTCATGTTAATTAGTATACGTAAAATTATGAGTGACAATTAAAAATTATGATTTTTGCTTGAAAACTGTAACTCTGCAAGAGAAAATCTATTAAAAATCTCAATATCTTTGCAAGAAAGATTCAACAACTCGAAATCTTCCATGTTATTTACCTAGTCACTAGGCTCCTCTATCAGGTGAATATAGTTTTAGCTTAAAACCTATTTATCACTTGGACACGTTCCTATGTTAGTGACTTTTCTAATCTTTGTTGCAAGAAATTTGCAGAGTTTTCTCGAGAAAAAGAACAGTACAATTTTAATATGAACTAAAACCTTCGGTAGATATAATGTATTGATTTTTTGAATTGTAATGTCTTTCAATTGATTTGGTGCACAACTCGAGTCAACACTTTAAATTTCTATGAACACATTATGATTTAAATGCCGATAACATTTTCATTGTGTTATCTCAACATTTCTTTAAGATTTGCTTTAAATATCAGGAACAGAAGCAAAATAAGGACCATTAGGTTTTTTTAATGCTTATATTTTAACCATAATTATCTTAGCATGTATATATTATTCAATAAATAGACTAAAAAAATCTTTCATGTCCACCTGATATTTATTCAGTTTTTATTTGTTTAACTTATCATTTATAAAATTATCGAAGATATAACGGTTTAGGATTATTCCCGTATGTATAAATAATATTCAAAAGTTAAAAAAAAGAGATATTTTCACGGATTGGATCATATTAATAAAATTTTTATTGGAGAAGCGTATATGCAGTAATTCAACATTAAGCAATCTAAATGCCTAAAAATAATTATTGATTAATATGTTTATTCATCTGATTGTTACTGTTTGAATCTATTCCTTTCAATTAAGTAAATTAACTAAAATAACTTTTCAATAATTTAATAATGAAATTGATCCATCCAAATAATCTATATAAAATAATATATGTATACAAAATAAAATAAATATTGTATAAAAACGTGTTCTTTTTTCATAAAGAAACGTTATTCTAATTCAATCCAAAACAAAAAAAAAATAAGGTATACGTATATATATGAGAATAAACACAATGGAGATTCACTCAAAAAATACTGGCGGCTGATCAGTATTTAATGGATGTTGATATATGACAGTTGCTGACGAATACGGTATAGGAGGCGGTTGATGAAGATTAAATGGAGCTAATGATTGTTGTCTTATTTTTGATGTTCGAGTTGATAATGAGCCTTTATGTGCAGAATTTTGTGAACGTCCTCGTGTCATTGTTCCACTTTGTTGATTTATTGGTAGAGCATTAAGACTAACAGCATTACGATGAATAGCATTTCGAGCTGCTGGTGGTGGTAATGGTGTTGGACGAGTTCGTCCCACAACTAGAGGATCAAGCATTGCACCAACTTGTGTAATAAATTGTGGTGATGAAGATGATTGTCGTTGTAAATGTTGTAAACGACCAGGAGAAGATATTTGTTGTTGAAGTACAAGACGAGCTGATGGTAATGTTGAAGTTTCAGTTCGAGGTAATGTTGGTGTTACTTTAGAATTTGGAGTTATTGGAGTTTGTAAAGATCGTTTATATGGTGTTTGAACATTTGAATAACGTCGATTATCATAAGTTGATTTAAAACGTGAAGAAGATGTTGATTGATGAGAATTTGTTGCTGATATACGATTTAATTGATTATTTGACATCATTCGATTTGTTATAGTACTTGGTGGAGCACTAGATACAAGTGGAAATGATGATGTCATTCTAAAAAAATATAAAATAATTGTATGCAAAAAGTAAAAAAATTCGTATTTAAAATTAATTTTTACTGTTGTTGTTGTTGTGTAACGGCTGATAAATTATTTGAATAAGTCATTGTTCGATATGTTTGTGTAACTCTTGCCATATATTGTTGTTGTTTAACACGATTTGTTGTTGTTGTTGTTGTCGTTGTTGTTGATGATGATGGTATTGTTGATGCAATTATTCGAGAATTTCCAATACGATTACGTTGTTGTCTTATTTGATGTTTAAGAAAATCACGTAATGTATGTAAAGTTTTAAATGTTGATTGACTAACACGTGTAAATGGATTTCGTCCAGGTAAAATATCAATTGCTGCTAAAGCACATGCTTTACCAACATCACGATAATGTTCAATAGTAAATTTTGGTGGTAATGAAAATGGTGTTGCAGGAGATATGCGACCGCCATGTGCATCATTTTCAGCTGCTGTTATTGAATTACATGATTTACCAACAGCATATGAACATTCAAGTGTATAGGAATGTAGTATACCAAAATGCTTATTAAGAGCAACACGACCACTACCTTCTTTAGATAAACCTTCACGTTTATCTTTCATATACATATTTTTTATTGTAAAATTACAATTTTCAAAATCAAAATGTGGAGAATTAAGTGAGATTAATTTTGCAAATAGAACATTATCAGTATGTTGATCATCATCAGGTAAATGATTACCATAAATGAAACAACCTAAAAATAAATTTCAATTATGGTTGATTTATTTTTGTAAAATGTATCAAATTTGTACCTTTTTTGGATGCATGACCATGTAAATCTATATAATAAGCAACACCACTTTCGTGAGAAGATATTTTAAGAAAATCCGGATTTGCTAAATGTGGTGATTTAACTTCATGAATACCATTGTCATTAGTTTGACCTGATGAAGGCATATCATCATCATCATCTGAACCTTCATTACCTTTTAAAACATAAATTAGAAAAAAAATTAGTTGAAAAAATATTCAAAGAATTATACAAAAAATAAGAGAATGAATTTAAAAAGTATGCTTATGAGTTATATTGCATCAAATGGAATTAAAGTATACTTGACAAAGGTACGTTCTTGTATCAATACTATATCGATTTATTGAATCAGATAGAATAAACCTCACAAAATGACTATGGAAAACAATAGTTTATCTAGTGCATGAATTGAGAGTGGGCGGTGTCTCTCCAAAGTTCGGATTGACCCACCTAGATTTGTGGACATTATATCATGTATTATATGTCTATGCTTCCTGAAAGTAGATATTTGGCCTTCCTGGAATCTCAAAATATCCCTTCGGAAGAGAAAATCTAAATAAAATACTAATGGAAACCGTTGACATTTCTCATGTAATATTTGAAATGATGAATGCTTATAAGTTGGATTAATAGTTTTATCTTATCGAAATGAAATCATTTTAAATATCAATGATCTTCATTATTATATTTAGCAAGAAAAAAGAAAACATTGCTTCTTTTATTAAGTCTTAACTCTAAATAAAATAGCAATGTTCAGGCAAACCAAAAGAAAGTCAAGCAAATTGTCAAAAACAAAAAAAGAAGTCGAAGTAACAGTAATTTTTATAGTAATCACTCGAGAATTATCATACTAAATCAATATTATTCAGTTATATCTTATTTCGTTAACAGTTACATCATACCATTTTAGAATGATTAAAACATCTATAACTTTAGTGTTAAACATCAATTAAAATTACAATTAAAATAGTACGTTGAAAAGAAAGAAGTTGTCGATATTCTTTTCTTCTCACTATTTTCAGATACTATGTAATCATCTAACTATTTGTCTCTTTGAAAATTTATTGCCTTTAAATTACTTTTGTAATATGATACCAATATATCATATTCTAATTGAATCCTGTATTGAAGAAAAATCGAATATGATCTAAAACGAATCATATCTAGAAATTGTCTCTATAACTGTGCTAAAAGAAATTTTCAAGTTATATAAAGTGTGGATCTTAGATTTAAGTCTAATTACCTTTTATTTGATTTCGAAGATTTCCATCATCTTCATCATCATTATCAATAATAAATAAATCTCGATGAAGTTCTAAGTTTTCATTAAAATAATGAAATGCATATGGAGACGTACGTTGCATTTCTGCATCATCAATTTCTGTTGTTACAGTTGGATTTAAACCACTTTCACTTCGTTCGATAAAAAATGGTTCATTGTCATCATTAATTATTTGTTCATCTAAAGATAAATTTTCAAAAGCATTATTATTTGGTTGTGTTGAATGCATCATTGTTGTTTCGTAAAGAATTTCTTGTTGAAAATGTGTTCGTCTTGGAGTTGATTTTCCCTATTACATGAACAAAATAAAGAACACCAAATTAAAATAATATTCGAACTAAAATAAAATCAATTCAATCTTTACCTGAAATTGATTATCATTTAATATATGTTGATTATCTTGTATAATTGGTATTGATTGTTGATTTGATTGCTCAGGTGGCATAACATCTTTAAATACATCATAAACAGATACGGGTGATCGTGATGATATACAATTGTTAATATGATGATAAGCAATTAGACTTTTAGCAGCATAAATTGATGGATGTTTTTCAAAATCAGGATCAAGATACATACGATTTAAATTGACACCAAATTGATCTGTACGATAATGACCACGTTGTACGCCATCAGGATTAAGAATTGGTATTAGTTTAAAAATATATAAATCACGTAATAATCTTGCACGAGGATCATCAGTTTTAAGAATAAAATCCAAAAAACCAAGAAATACGAATGCAGCTGGTGTTTCACCGGGATGTACACGACTTGAAAGAAAGAAAATACGTTTATTACGAAATTGATGTGGACGTTTTGTTATTGTTGGTGCATCAGGAAATAATTTTTTATCAAAATGATGTTCACGTTCTTTGGTTATGCCTAAAATTAAAATATAAATCGTAAAAAAAATGTATATACTACTATCGAGAAAATGTTTTCAACTGATCAATCGTTTTTGAAGTCGAACTCTGCAATGAGTAGAATCTAGTGAGATATAAAAACCTTCAAAAGGATAAGTCCTCTTAAGTTTCCTATCCAGAGTTATATGCATTTTTATTAGAATTTTAGCTTCACACATGGTATATACCAACGAATTCAATGACAGTATTTCAACCTGATGCTTTGCCTACAGTCAAGTTTATTTGTCAGTAGAATACGTCGAAAATTTCAGCTCAAAATAATGTTTCCTTCTTGATATATTAATCCTTTCAGAATGGCAAATCCGGAAAGGCGTTTTCCGTCTAGAAACAGTTCAAATATATTGCTACATACTATATATCATTGATTGAACTAGCATTACCCTAAATCACTCATATTTCGCGGAAGATGTTAGAATTTTATGTTTTTTCGCTGAAATTTTCAGCAGATTCCACTAACAAACGAGTCCGCCTGTAAGCAAAATCTCAGATTGAAATATCATCATTCGATCTGTTAGTATGTACCATACCAGAAACTAAAATTCGAATAAAATGCCTATAGCTGTAGATGGAGAAGATGTAGGAGGATTTATCCTTTTGATATTTTTCATATTTTCATTGCAGTTTACCTTATGCACAGAGTTCAAATTCAAGCTCGATGGATCAGTTGAAAACATCTCTCAAAGAACTAGAAACTACCGTACTGTCAATTAGAATATTATCAAGGAAAAAATATCAAATATATCACTCAGAACTGATTCTTATTTAATTAATCGAGATTGATTACCTTTATAAGAAGTTATTGTAATTAAATCAAGTTTATTTGAATCACATGAATAACATAATGTTTCATGATGATAATAAATATCTGCACTATTTACCGGTAATGATGGATGTTCTAAATAGTAATCAGCTAATCGTGAATTATATAAATTATCATATGCATTAAGTAATAGTTGCATATCTTCATATGAATGTGGAAAACAAAAGGCGAAATATGTTATAGAATTTTTTAAATCTGCTATACGATGAATAAATGATAGTTTAAAATCTTCATTGACTGTTTCCCAACAAGGACGTACATATATTCTTGACCATTTTTCATGTCCAGGCACAGTTCGAAAAACTGGTAACATACCCATTTCAAATAATCTACCTTGTCGATTTAAATTCATTATATTAAATCGAATACATTTTCCATGGCCACCTTTAACACCAAAATAAAACCATGAACGATTTCCATTGACTCGAGCTGTTCCTTCACAATCACGTTTTGTCCAAACATTAAATTCAATATCATGCTTTGGTAATGTATGACTTATAGTATTCAATCCATTATCTGCTCCATTATTATTATTATTATTATTAGAATTAGAATTATTAGTATTTGATTCTGTTTCAATTAAATTTGTTGGTGGTTGAGAAGAAGCTATGGATGATGTCACACGTTCATATCGAAGCATATTGCCGGAATCAAAATTTGCAAACAGTTGAATAGAAGAAGAAGAAGTGGTAGTACTAACATCATTAGGAATCATTTTCTTTTTTGTTTTGTTTTCTAGAAAGGCAATAAAAATGTTCAAAATAGATCTTCCATCGTAATGCCTTTTTTCTATGGAAACAACCTCCATTAAAAATGCAATCGGCACAAAACTTCTTAGTTTATTTCATTTCTTTTCGTTTTTTGTAACTATTGAATTTGAAAGTAAAAATTCAAGAATATTATTTTTGTTTATATAACTTTTACACTAGAGGGAGACAGAAGACATATCATTATACGCACTTATATTTCAACAACCAACCACAAGTGGGTGTGTCCAATATATATCATGTGATAACATTTGACAGTACGATATATCCTCTATTATAGATCCGACTTAGGCATTAGTAAAGAAAAGAAAAAAACAACAACGACATATCTTTGATTTCTTATATGGCTTGTTATTTTTCGGTTGATTTCATTAATAATTCTATGCTTATTAATTTCAAATCAACCTATAAGTCTTTATCATTATCACAAAGTTTTCGCTGTTGTTAAAAAAAAAACAATTTTACAAAATGAAATTACTCGAAAATTCTAAATTGGAAGCAATTAGTTCGACACTCTCCATTGATACACCAGTTTGTGATATCAAAACTCGGTAAATAAATAAAATAACATTGTTTTTTAAAATAAATTATCATGTTTTTAATAAATTCAGTGTAGAAAGTTATTCATGTAAAATGGCTGGTGATCCAAAAAAATTATATAAACAATTAAGAAATGAACCCGGTACATCACCACATGATCTTGAAATTCTTGGACCATCACAAACCAAATCACCATCATATAATTCAAATTTTTTAACAACACCACAAATTTTACAAGTAAATCCAATGGCAAGATCAATATCAAGTGATGATGAATCACCATTAGCTAAAACAATTCCACGAAAAACACTTATTTTTTTAATATCAACATTAAATGCAACATTTGAACCTGATTATGAATTTAGTTCTTGTATAAGTCAAGATTTTAGTCGAGAAACTAACTTTGAAGTATGTATATCTTTACAGAAGTATTCATTTCATTTCAATTCAATTTTTTCTTTCTTTCTCATGTAGTTAGTTAAAACTGAAGTAGATTCTCGATTTCTTTCAACTATAGGTGATCATTATCGATCATTATCATCACAATTATGGTCGGTAATTGATGAAGAAATAAATATAAAAGATAGTGAAATATATAGGTAAGAATAAATAATCTAAAGAATGATAAAAATAAGGTTTACTTGTTTGGTTCATCTTAAATAGTTATCGTCCTGATGGTACATCAGATCCATTTTCTGAAAGTGGAATTATTTGGTCATTTAATTTCTTTTTTTATAATCGAAAACTTCGTCGAATTCTTTATCTTACATGTCGAGCTGATTGTAAAACATCAACAAATGATGATGATAATGATGATGAATCTTTAGAATCTAATAATTATTTAGGATTTGAAGGGTAAAAATTGATAAAAACAAAAAAAAAATATCAAAAATTTCATTTTCTTTTTGCTTTCTTTTTAGTGTTATGGATTGATAGAATTATTCATTTATAATTCATCCGGTTCTGTACACAAAATATTATCTATATATTATAAACCATTGATGCATTGTTCCTCGTTCATATTAGCTCTTTATAGTTTCTTTTCGGTTTAACTTTTTTCTCGCTTGTCCTTGTTTGTACATTATGTTCTCTATTACCCATGCGTTAAAACGAAATTGCATTGTTCTCGCTGTACATTAGCTTAGTATTTTTTTTTGTTATTCAGATACACTAGGTTGTATATAGTGGTCAGAGCATCGAACATAAAAGTTGCCTCCCTATTCAAAGAAACTTTATTATATATTGTATGTAGATAGATTGTGATAAATATAACGAAAAAACCAATTTTGTAAAGTTATACTAATCGAGCAGTACATGCAAAAGAAACAAATACAAATATGGAATAGAATACATACCTATGGTACGAACGTCTTGATACACGATGTTTGCTAATTTTTTGAACACTTAGAAGCCATTGTTGAGAGCCAAAAGTAGTCAGTTAGAATCAAAATTTTGTGTTCTTTCAGAACGTATATGCAAAATTTTATTTTCGTGTAATCTAGGCCAACTATGAGAATAGTAGAAATATCTAAGCGCATCACTAGTATTTTAGAAGATGCATCCTTAGTAATATGGTCTACAAAAATTATCACAACATGATTTTTATTAAAAATTAAACATGATTCTCGAAACGATCTTCTCATATGGCTTGATTTAGGTACGCATAAAACAAAAAAAACGGCCACAATGATCATCATGTGTCTGTTTAACTGTGACGTATCANGAATGGGTTCCCGTACCTAGGAACCCGGGAACCCGTCATGACTTCATACAAATGAAAAGGATAGACACATCTGAGAATCTCCGAACACGGGATAATCCTTGGAAACCAATTTTGAAACGCGTTCCCGTACCTGGGAACGCGGAACCTGGGTGGGTTCCCGTTCCGAGGAACCCGGGAACCCATCGTGACTTGATACAAACGAAAAGAATAGGCACATCTGAGCATCTTCGAATATTGGAGAGTGCTCAGAAAATAGTTTTCAAACGCGTTCCCGTTCCTAGGGAACGGAACCCGGAGGTACGGGAACGCTGACACCCCTAGTTCTGACAGTGGCAATTAAATAAAGCACATCGTCGTTAGCAGGTCAACATCATAGAAGAGACACTTTTATTAAATATTTTTATTCATGTTCTGTAGGCAGAAATGAGAGGAGAAGGTTTAAGGTGTGTGTGTTTGCCGTCATCGACGAATCCTATGCTTTTTTTTATTTTATTGGAAATAAATCAGAGAAATTAATATACACCGGATCTATGACTTTGACAGAAGAAGCACTCTCCAATTGAACTAATGAAATGAGCGACCAACCGAAATAAAAGTAACAGTAAATGAATAAATTACGTTATTTTCTGCAACAATATGCAGTAGCATTACGATGAAGTACGATTGGCCATATTTTATCCGTAAAATATAGTGACACATGCAACTACGGTCTTTTTACAGTACGTAATGACACCGTTTACGGTCGTAAGCTAGTCGTTTTTTCATCGTTTACTGATCGAAAACGACCCATAAACGGTATTTGTTTCGATCGACGTGGGTCGGCGAACAATTATCCGTTATAGTGCTGAGATTTATTGTTCATCTAATACTAACAATAAGTGAATAATGACTGTTGTGTTTATGATTACGCACTTGTTCTATGTCGATACTTATTCTTCTCGAAATGATATTTGATTACGATGCTGATTGTCGTTAAAATATCGACAATTTCATAGCAATTGACGATTAAAATGATCTCTCAAGAGTATGGACATTCCTCCTAAAAATTAATACTTTTATTTTTATTCACAGTTTACTCAATAGTTTTTCAATGTCTCAAATCAACACAACTTATTTTCTCAACGTTTATAACAAGGATACATCTAAACAAAATGATCGAAGTTAAGATAGATGCATAGAAAAATAAGCCACGATTTGATCTTGTGTAAACGACAAAATTTCTTACTCGACACCTCCTTTATTCTAAAACATTTTGAAGATTTCCGTCAACCCCTGTACGAAAATATGCTCTTTTTCAGAAAAAACAGAATATCTTTTTCAATCGTGTATCTCAAAGGCTATGTTACTATTATATAGAAGAACACTTTTATAGTCAGCTTGCCTTTCTTTGACAGTTTATTAAGACTTTAAACTTCTTATCGTTTTTTTTCCTTTAAAAAGTAAAAGCTTAGACAAAAAGATCTCTGTAGGGTCCCACATTCTGCATGTTCTTTCAAATAAAAAAAAAGAATTAAGTCTATAGAATGAACACCTACAGAGAATTTTAGGATGCAAAATAAGCTACTTTTTATCCTTGCTTGTCCAATATCTCCCGAATATGTAATGATATAGATCTGAAAATATCGTGGTATTTGACGATTCCTCGCACAAGATCAATGCTTTAGGAAAGAAGGCCCTTGATATCTAGATATAAGTTCGCAACATACTAGATAGCCCATACTTATAAATCGAATTCTCAAGTTCGAAGTTTCGGGTATGGAGAATTATGAGACGATCTTATCTTCACACATTGTAGCGCTACACATGCACGTACACTCACACTCCTTTGTGGAAAGAAGTTATTCTTTCGGTGGGCTAATACTCCAGATTATTATAGCATAAATGAGAATACGAACAGCGAGATACAAAAAGTTCAATAGAAAATCTATGAACGGCCTTTTGAAAGCGATAATTTGGAAAATGGTGCCGCGACAAAATAACAACAACAACACAAGCGCAAGGCACTCCATCCAATACAATTGGCGCAATGTTCTTCACAGCAATTGCAAGACTTCTCCGGAGAACTTTCATTTTGCGTCGCTGTTCCGCTGCTGTTGTTTGGTGGCTCCACATTAGAAGGGTTGTCAGTGGCAACCAGATTGCTGAATTCTTCCTGTGTTTCGGTATCTATTATACTCGCTTCACTCTTCCCACAAACGCAAACCTAAATGAAATAAGAAAGAAGAACAAACAAGTTATACAGTCGCAATCAATACTTAAACTGGTGGTCTTATTTGTATTTTTGAATGCGTGTAAATCAATGAAAACAGCTTGCACATATGCAAGAACAGACATACGAGTCTTTACATCTCGTTACATGAAAAGAGAACAAGACGCGTGCCCAGATGAATTTTTGCGTAGAACAGTGTTACTTGTAAACATCTTTTTCGATAGACGTCATGAGGAACGACACATTCTTTTTTCTTTCAGATAAATTCCATTGGTTAGTACTTTGCTCTCATGCAAAATTTGTACTGAGACTGCTTCTCTCATATTCATTGTTGATGCGTTTAACTGATAAATGATCTGTTTCTTCCAATGTGGGTGTGCGTGTGGACGCTTGTGAATAGATGACCCACATCTTACATTATCACAGATTTTTCGTCTAAAACACATAAATCTAACTGACCAATAATAGTCGATTTCCATCCCATTCAGCTTATAAATTTCTGATGAAAACGTAAAATGACTCGTAATCAATATTTAAGACAATTTTCGATGTGTGAATCATCAATGATTCATAAAGAATGTCTCGCTTGATGTGGCATTATGATTCATAAATTTTCTTTTCAAAAAGTTCTTCATTGAATATATTTCAAACTTCTATGAATTACTATATTATACAATTTAAAGTTGAAAAAAATCAATGTGACATATCGAAGTGGAGCGAAATTGAAAACTTTTACAGTTAGTAAACAAGAAATTGACAAATGTATGAATCTCTACTTTCAAATAAACAGAAACATTTGAATATTGTTTCTATTTTTATAGAAATCGTTTTTCTGTGATCATTGATGGAAAGTTTTGTTGGAAGTGATTGTACGCTATTCGAACGCTACTCTTCTCAACGTTCACAATGAGTGAATATAAATTCGTTAACGTACTCAACACTGAAAACAGTTGGCGTAATGCACTTTTGTTTAATATCGATGACCTAATTAAAGTATTTTAGACATGTTCGAATTTCTAAAAAAAGTAAATTTCTCGAAAACTATAAGAAACCATCAAACTACAAGATACAAAAATTTACAGCAGAATTGTGAAAGCTTCAGAAATTTAAATACACTTACTATGTTGAGTATAGGAAACAAGTTTTGAACCATCAATATCATCATTAGGCTCATAGTGAAATATGCCTAAATAATAAAAGCGAGGTTTACATGAACTTATTCTTTGATTTACCTCTGATAAGGATTCAGATCGAATTTTCCATGAAAAAGACATCTTTTCCCATCAATATTTGAAGTTTTGTTTGCAGATTTTTGTAGCTATTGCAAAGAGTTCATAATGTTAAAAATAGTGATATTTGCTGTTTTCGAGATTTTTTAGGATCGTATTTCGACTGTAAAGTTAGAAGAACTAGAGAAAAAAATATCTTTTTCTCTCATCTTCTTTATATGAAGAGTAGTAACGTATTAGATTGATCATGGAAGTAATTTAGGTTCCAAAGCGCCCTATGTTGATATTGTTCAAAATTATTTATTTATCTGTTGAAAAATAATAAGTTCCATCACAAATGATGTCTATCTCCACGTGCTCTTGCATTTGATGCAAGATAGTAAAGATTTCACTGTAAACAGTTCTATGAACCGATTTACAACCTTATAACCTTCTCTTCGTTCGAAAAATACCGACACGTAAAAACAATATTTACCACCATAATCGACCTAAATTCAGTAACTATTACAAAACTGTCAATCAGTTTCATCGAAAACAGAGATTATCAATATTTTTCTCTTTATATAGTTCACTGTATTTTTATATTAATCAGAGAATCCTACCCTTAAACGTATTGGAAATTTTTATTATTACTGGAATTTCTTAGTAATGTCAAAATAGCCAATATTTTCAAGATTAGAGTCTTGTTCTCAATATTAGAATAGATTGATAGGTGGTTACAACAAACATATGGCAATTTCTTATTTGAATTTCGTCCAGTTGCATTTGAGAAGTTTCAGAAATCACTCATCAAATTATCTTGTACTTTATGCACAATTATGAAATTTTATTGGATATTAACTTCTGTTGTTCTTATAATTTTCGGGTGCTGTTTTGTTTTCGGCTAAATGAATAAAGTTGCTTTATAAAGAAATTAGAGTAGTTTTTGAACTTTCTTGATGATATGATTTTTCTGTGCAAGGACGTCCGTTCATATTCACAAAAATCCGACAAGCTCATTCACTATTCACTACATAATAATTGAATTATCGTAACTTTTATTTTCTTTATCATTATTATTTTCTAAAGAACTGCTATTCATTTTATCTCGCAATATAACATTTTTACCATCTGTTCCTCTTGAATGTTTTGGCTTCTCACTGATGTTGTTGATGTATTGCATAGTAATTTTTCTCTTTTCAGTTGTTCAATCGATAAAGACATTTATTTTACCAAAAATGGGTGTGTGTATGTTAATCTGCTTTTCATCTGCACTTAGACTCACACCAACATCCTCAGTGTCCAAGTTTCTTCAGGATTAAATGGATAGGTAAATGATGATGTTCTTTCGGTTCACTATCATAGATATATAGTTCTTGATGACACAAAAAAAAATTTACCCGAATTCAGATACACGCTGTATAAGTCAGAAAAAATTATTGCTTTGCTGAATTTCTGAAGCCTCGATATGACTTTTTAAATATTGACTTATAAGATTCTAATATGGAATGTTGATGAAAGATTTCTAGAATAAATCTGAGACACCTCTAAAAGTTTAGTTTAAAACTATAAATTCTTTCTAATAATGTTGAATTAAAAATAAATGCAGTTTATCAGATCTATTTTGATATATGGCCAACAATTAAAAAAAAAATTTTAATATGTTTAGAATGAAAATCTGCTTTATCAGAAACTCACACGTCGAAAAAATAAAAAAAGTTTTGTATAAAATAATCTCAATTTTTCAAAGCTAAGCAGAAATCTGAAATTTATTTTAGTTTTTATTAAGTTGATGTATGTATCTATGTAGTAGACAAATAAGCTTTAATATTTGAAACATCCTTCATTGACAACAACAGTGAAGCGTTTATAAAGATATTTCAATTACGCAAAAAGACATTATTTCGAATTACAAGTAACAGTACAAAGTACAAGTATAAATATCAAGTACACCTGATGAATACTTGTACTCTTAGTTTTACTTGAAAAAGTAGGAAATGTACTAGCACAAATGCATTCGTCTGAGTTCTGTATTGCGTCACTCTCTGAATCTACTGTGTCGTTTACATCGTCATTATTGCGTTGTTGGGTAATGATATAAAATGCATAAGTCATCTCTTCATTCTGCTTTGTTGAGACAGAAGGAAGAAAAATATTGCACGATGTAAGAGCATAGAAAAAAGACTATTTACTATATATTTTTTTTCTTGTTCGTTCTGCATTACACTTTTTTCCTTCTGTTTTGTTGTTAAGTCGCGTTAACGGGCACATTTCTTTCTATGGGTTGCTCTTGTTGAAGCAAAAGCATCGATTTATTTGCAATGGACGAAAGCGAATGTTCATGCAAACAATCATCGTTTACTGATCATCACCTGAAATATTTGGACGAATTTTTGCAGCTGAGATGTACTCCAGAGCTGATAACGATGAGTTTATTTCCGAATGCCAAAGAAATTACAGAGTCATTTGCAGTTTGGTCAGCGTTAAGACAATTCATCTTTCCACGATTGGAACAACAATTATCAATGTCTGAATCTACCGATTCAATTTCATCGATGGATAGTCGCCAAAATGCAATTATTGTTGTTGGAGATGGTATGACACCTCGTACAGCTGCTCTGTGCGCATATTTAACAAAAGGATTATGGCAATGTTATAGTATTGATCCTATGCTTCAATATGATACGTATGCAGATATGGTATTTATTAATCGAGGAGGTATTACAACAGCTGATCATTGTAGAGAATGGAAATCCATAAAAGGTTTAAGAATGGCACGTGCCAAAATTCAAACAGTATCTGTACAGTGTCGAAAAGCAATCGTAGTTATGATGCATGCGCATGTAACCCTAGAAGATGCCATTGTAGCTGTCGATGCATCAGAAGGTATTATTGGCATTGTTACATGCCCATGCTGTAAATGGGCTCCTTTTCAACAAGAATGGCTAGGACAGCCACCACATCATAAGTATACTGATTTAAGACTATTAAGTGTCAAGAATGAAATGAACGTATGGTATTTTCCGCAAGGCTATAATAATAAGTCGACTCTTATGTCGGTGAATTCTACCACTAGTGCAATGGCTGAAGACAAGCGATTGCCAACGAAACAGATGACGGAACGTAATATATGGGGAATAGACATGAGTATTACTGACAATATATTCTCCAATAGAGATGGAGTAAAACAACGAGCTATTGAATTATGGCCACAAATATTTTCAAATGGCAGTGAAGCATTCAACACCACTGAAGTAAATCGATTATCAAACACGATCGCATGTAACCGAACAACAGATTCGAATATGACTCAATCTACTATTGATGATTCAGAAACATGGCCTTGGGCATCAACATCATGGTCACCGAAAGATATATTACCTTTAATGAAATCACTTTGTTATACGTCGACATCATTACCAGACGTACGTGACAGTCTGCCAGTTTTACCTTCATGGTTTGCAAAATCTGTTTTAGTGGTAGGTACCATTGCAGCTATGCGACGATGCAAACAAACTGTTTTTTACGAATTGCATACTTGTACTATTCCTTCAGAACCACTTGAAGATATCCTACGACTTGCGTGTGGTACATCACCTACGAGCAATACTACAATGGAAAAGACACATGCATCAGCCGATACATTTCCCATATTATTAAAATCTGCTGATCGTATGTGGACGTGCGTAGAATACCAACGACATCTTCAAGCTGTTGCTAGTTATGATGCGACGATCGGACGAAAAACAAAAGATTGTAATTCGCAAACACATGCCAATGATCTCACAGTACCATCGAATACAGATCGTGTAAACGTAGTACTATCTTTATTATCTTATGAACGTAGGACTACAGCTGCAAAACAACCTAAATTGTCTACGGAAACAAACGAAAATATTCAAACTGTAGAAACGACTTCTACACTTTTACAATCTAAAGATAGCATTAAAGTAAAATTATTTAATTATAATCCACAACCACGCCAATCTCTATTTCCTTGGGCTATGAATTTACGACCTGGTGATATTTTAGTTGCATATTGTGAATTAGGATGTAACGCAAAGAAAGGACCACAATTATGTTTAGTTGACGGTATTCTACTATTTGATAGTATGTTACATGTGATCTGCGCCGATCGTCGTATTCTACGGTAGGGAATATGCCATTAACTGCTTACATAGTTAGACGTACAAAGTAATTAATTACCATTCGCAAAAAAGATCACACAGACGTACCATGAACTAAGCATATGGCTTTAGTTTATGTATGCCAAATCCAGTACATAAGAATCGACGACAGTTCGCAAGTTCACCAAAAAAACACGTAAAATGATTATAAATCACAATTGCATCTATGCCGAAAAAACCGTGTGAGCAAGCGTTTATATAGAACAGTTATAATAGTTGTTTAATTTTTAATAAGTGTTATTTTTAAACAACAGCTCGTTGAAAAGAATAGGTAAAACTCAACAATAAAAACTGCATTTTTTTCACGACAAGAAAACGATATTTAAAATTCTACAATAAGGCTGAAATGAAAATAGGGTGTGAGTATGAGAGTGAGAGCACTCAGACACTCACCCACACCCCACACCCACGAAAAAAGTTTTCCATGAAAACTACGACTGATCGTAGTTTGAAAAGTCGCATTTCGGGCCCCGTTATTATGAACCGCGGGAGTCAGACCGTTTATTAGGTTTATATCAACTGTCTGAAAGCGCGGTTATCTGTGTTGTGATTTCAAGCGGTTTGAAAAAACCTAATAAATGGTATGACTTCTTCAGTATCTTCAAACCACGATTATCAATGGTTTCTGAAAATAAAAATCTACTCATGGTTCCAGAAGTAACTATTTCCTTTATAGGTTTCTGTCACTCATTCTATTGGTTAATTAGTTGAACCGTATGAGTGAGTGTGAATGTGATTGTGTTGTGAGAGTTATCTTTTCACCCACACTCACAGCCACATCTCGCACACATTAGCAGCCACATTCCATACCCACATCACACAGTGTAAGCCTGATCAACAGCATTAATAAAAGAGTTTATTCAAATAAATAAACATTTTTTTCAATCAGAACAAACAGGTGCTGGAGGTTTTTGTTCTGTCAGCTCTGCCAATTTTTTGGCATAGCCCGAAGTTAAAATTTCATTAAGCTTGCTATATCGTTTACTTTCTACTTCGGTCCAGATTTTCTTCAACTGTTTGAATGTCGTACAGCGACAAATTTTTCGAGCGTAAGTTATTTGTTCAAGAGTTTCGGGTGGCATTGTCTCACGTCCGGTCAGTTCACAAGACGTTCGATTGCATAAGAATGGAACTTGTTGGAGATCCAGTTTTTGACGAAAGAGTTGTAAACCCGATCTTCGTTCAATATTCTCGGTAGATACAGCAAAATCGGTTAACGAACGGTTTCCGTCGATTGGCTCATTAGGTACGACAAAGCAACCAAGAGCAAAATCATTCTTGTCCTTGTTTTCAATGAGAATACATTTGAAAAGATGGGTAGGCACGTGCACTTCATCGATGCCAATAACCGGATGTGAAAGGTATTCGTAGGGAAAATTTGGATTATCGTCAGGATTCTAAAAAAATCGACTCAACGAATATTATCGTAGTCAATCATTGATGAGCTTTGTTCGACACGAATATGTTCACAATAGTAGTCTGGAGTGTTTTTTTACTTTTCCTGAGTACAAATTCTGTTAAGAGCTTCAATATCTGTTTTAGCTCAAGCTAAGGAGGCTTCTAACGGATTGTATGCATCGAAGGGTGTGGGTGTGGGTGTGGGTGTGGGCGTGGGTGTAGGTGTGGGTGTGTGTGTGGGTGTGGGCGTGGGTGTGGGTGTGGGCGTGGGTGTGGGTGAAAAGATAACTCTCACAACACAATCGCATTCACACTCACTCATACGGTTCAACTAATTAACCAATAGAATAAGTTACACAANAGAGACGTCTACTACTATCAGTCAAAATATACTAAAAGTACACGTTTGTACCTGCACTGTCACAAAAACAAATCATATTATTCGTTATTGATCTTAACGAATAGAATGTATGTCTTAAGATTAGCTTCTTCTGCATAAAAAATCATCTGATAAGCAATTGCAGGTGTATATATTCAACATTAATAAAAAAAATTCTCAGTTCCTAACCGAAAAGAAAAACTTAGTAAATAGTAATCAACCAACTGCTTATCGTGACTACAGTTGTGTCAGTGAAGAAATTACACAGAAAACCACCTTCACAGGTTATATAGTGTGATCCATTATTATATTCTTTTTTCTTTTCTCTCATCTAGTATATCATAAAGATCACACATACGATGTTCATATATGTATCTTCTCCTTCTTCTCTTTATTGAATTTGTGGTATATTTTTACTGTTCTCTTCTCTTCATATAGTTTCGGGATTTATCCCTCGTGTTGATGGTTATATTCTAAACCCCTTTGGATTTTTTTCCAACTCACTCATCTATATATATTGAATATAATCAACGAGAACGACAAATTGAAGCTGATGAACGTCCAACGAATATATTTCGTATGATAGAATATTAAGTCGAGATGAATTTATCGATTATTAACTGAATCAAATCGTTTTGGTGATAATCGTGAATCACAGTCATCACTTGACGATTAACATTTTGCTTCTCACTTTTCTTTCTGTATTTAACATTTCTTTAAAAACTAAAAAACAACGTTCATTTTAACTATAGAAAGAAAACAATATGTTTCATAGTCTAACATTAATTACAAATGAAAATAGTTCTGATAATGAAAAACAAAGAACAAAATGTAATTCAAAATTAAGATGTAGAAATAAAAAAAGAAATTAGTATAGAAAATGTTGGAAATGTAAATTTTCTATCATTGATTGTTTGTTTTTTATATAACATTTACTTTGAGGCATTAACAGCAATCAATGATAAACACTATCCTGATAAATAAAAACGTAATGTTGAATAAGCTGAATTAGTCAAATGTTAAAATACCAGAAAAATATGTAGAATTTATTAAACAAGAACTTAATTGTCATGTTCAAAAAACAGAAAAATTATTACGCATATTCATAAAAAATATATTAATAAAATACAAATCATTTGACTGAATTATACTCTGTGGATAATTCGAATGTCACATTTGATAGATCTAATTTTAGTAATAGATGTATAGTAATGATCAAACATGATTTTCGAAAAGTGGCAGAAAAATTTCCACGTTGTTTTATTTTTTCTAAATTCGAAATTGTATGAGTTTAATGATAACTTCAAAATGGACTTTCTCTAGCAATTAATGCACATTCAATGTTCTACCGTAATCATGATATCGAGTATACTATTCACAGCACCATTCTCTCTCATGAATGTAAAGCCTTGCCAAACTAAACTCAACAGACTTTATTATCAAAAGAGGCTATTTGAATAGACACCTTCGACATATGTTTAAAAAAAAGAGGTAACATATGTATTTAAACATAATTGACTAATTTTCGAATTTTCCAAAACAGGAATAGAAAATTTCGATTAATAACTTTTCGAGCTGGTATCAAAAGATGGAGAATTTCAAGCACTAATTTACTTTTAAAAAGAACTTTTTTCAATTTCAAAGTAACCAACATCATGATGCACAGTGAATACCTACTGCGAAAGTAAAAAATTGTGACATCGCTACTGGCAAATTCAGTAGATTTCAAAACAATGAAAACGTCCTTGATGCAATTATCTATCGTTTCGACTCTTCTTCAAAACTTTAAACGGCAGTTTCATGCGAAAAACTTGTTAGTACAGCCCATTAGAGGCTGAAATGTGGAGCTCGCATATGTTGTTTAATCTCATTAAACTAATACAAAATACGTACAGTGAAAAATCTCTCCAAGACCATCGTTGCTTTCTAAGTTAATCGATCATCACAGTTCTCATTTATTTCTGCATTTTGAACGGAATGTTTTTTTTTACAGATGCTCTAGTTTTTGTTTGCATTGTTGGCCTTCGCTCGTTATGTTTCATTTTTCTTAATTTATCATTGTTACTATCATAAGCAATAAATTAAATAGCAAACAAGATTGTTGTAAATATCCCTTATTTGACAGTCAGAACATATGTTATATGAAATTAAAAAAATTCAAGTTCATTGATCTTTGGTATAAATTAAAGATTTTTTAGAATATTCTTCTTCAAAACGTTTACAATGTTCAATCACTTAGAACTAAAATATAGAACAGATTAATATATATTATTCTATATTCTTAAAAATATAATGATTTCTATAGATAGTACTGAGGGGCACCCAAAAGTAGTGGCGGAGGTACTGTAATTCCTTATAAAAGCCTTAAGAAACTTTCTCTCTATATAGTCTGATAAAGAATAGAATCGTGCTCTATTTTCTATGTCATTTGATCATACTTCAACTAATATCATAATAGTAAGATTTAGTGGATATTTTTTAAATAACTTTTGATAGAAACAAGATAGAGAACTACGGTTTTCATTGCTTGAAAGAAGAGATGAAGATACATGTCGAGCCATATATTATAGATTTTTTTGACATGATTTTTTTAAATGTTTTCAATCAACTTCTTTTAAAAACAAACCTATTTGTGAGATGTGTATTCCAACCGCCGATTGAAGATCTTTTTTTTTCTGAAAATTTCTATAAAAGAATTTTTTGCAATTTCTTTTTCGGTAAGAAATCATTTTTTCCATACTTAGAAAAATGATTATATATTAGGGAAACGTATAATACTTGATTCAATCAAGTTTTATCTCTTCTTTCGGACAACGAAAATCAGTTCTCTATCTTGTTTCTATCAAAAGTTATTCCAAAAATATCCACTAAATAGACACTAGTACAACCAAGCATACCTCTAAGTATACTAAAGTTATGAGTTCATTATGTAGAAAATTCAATAGTGTATAAAATTATTTTTTACTCCGAAATCTGAGTAACTTAGCTCAGTTTGCTTGTATTTTTTTTATTAAAAAAAATACCATACAGTGATAGTAAGTCAATTATGGGTTACAATTCTACTCGAATGTGTCTTCATCTTGAAAAATTTGCAATAATTTTAAACAACTGATTTCAAAACGTCATTCAGTAAATCATCTAATTTTTTAATATTTAACCGATCAAATTATGATGTTCTTTCATGCTTTTGAAGTCAGTTTTTTCGAATGAAGAAGATGACAAATCGTTATGTTAAAATTTTAACCAAGTAAAAATATACCAGTACATGTTTATATTATTTGAAGGTATTTTTTAGTTACTCTTTCCGATTGAGTCACCATCTGATTTTATCGTCTTCGTTTAGTTCGTTATTGTACATCTGTTGGATTAAAACGAACAATGAACATAAAAGTCACTTGTCCTTTTCTATTTGGCCGAGAGAGAAAAAAGAAAATTATCATGTACTCTAAATTGTTTTTTTTTGTTCGTTCTGCGTTCCACTTTTCTTTTCTCTCCTCTTATTACAACGTGTTATCGGGCATATTTATTTCTATCATTAATTTTTCTTATTGAAACAAAAGTATCGGTTTATTTGAAAATGCAAGAAAGTGAATATTCACACAATGAACCATCATCTATTGATTATCATTTGGAATATTTGGATGAATTTTTACAATTGAGATGTGTTTCAGACTTGATCTCAATGGGTTTATTTCCAAATGCTAAAGAAATTACTGAAACTTTTGCAATTTGGTCAGCATTAAGACGATACATTTTTCCACAATTATCAACATCTACTACATCTTCAATTGACAATGATCGAAACGCAATTATTGTTGTTGGTGATGGCATGACACCTCGTACAGCTGCTCTATGTGCATATTTAACCAAAGAATTATGGCAATGCTATAGTATTGATCCGATGCTTCAATATGATACCTACGTCGATATGACATTTATTAATCGACGAAGTATTACAACAGTTGATCATTGTAAACAATGGAAAAGCATTAGAGGCTTACGAATGGTACGGGCTAAAATTCAAACAGTATCTATAAAATGTCGAAAAGCAATTGTTGCTATGATGCATGCTCATGTTACCATTGAAGATGCAATTGCAGCTGTAGATGCATCTGAAGGTATTATTGGTATTGTTACATGTCCATGCTGTAAATGGGCACCTTACCAAGAAGAATGGCTCGGACAAACACCACATTATCAATATACTGATTTAAGATTATTAAGTGCAAAGAATCAAATGAATGTATGGTATTTTCCAAAAGGTTGTCATTATAGATCATCTATTATCTCAATTAGTTCTACTAGTAATACAGCGACTGAAGAGAAGCAAATTGCAACCAAACATAATATATGGGGCATAGATACAAGTATGTTTGAAAATATATTATATACTCGTGATGGAGTAAAACAACGAGCTATTGAATTATGGTCGCAAGTATTTTCAAAGGGCATTGAAGCATTCAATACTATTGATATTAATCAATCATCAAGTACGAATATATCTAAAGAAGCGAAATATTTAAATATTCAATCTATTATAGATGATTTAGATATGTGGCCATGGGCATCAACAACATGGTCACCGAAAGATATATCACTTTTTATGAAATCATGTCGTGCTACGTCAACATCATCATCATCGAACAATGTACCAATGTTACCTTCATGGTTTAGAAAACCTGTTTTACTCGTCGGAACAATTGCAGCTATGCGACGATGCAAATATACAATTTTTTATGAATTAAATACGTGTGTCATACCTTCAGAAGAACTTGAAGATATTCTAAAACTTACCTGTCATACATCATCTATGATAAATACTACAGAAGAAAAAATATATGCATCAAACGATACATTTCCTGCATTATTAAAATCTGCTGATCGTATGTGGACATGTGTCGAATACCAACGACATCTTCAAGCTGTTGCTGCTTATGATCCGATGGTTGAACGAAAAACAAAAAAAAAATATTCACAAACAACAAATGTTAAGGATATTACAGAATCATCGAATACTGATCGTGTCAACGTAATACTTTCTTTATTATCTTACGAACGTAAAAGTACATCTGCGGAATATACAACTACTTCTACACTTTCACAATCAAAAGATCATACAAAAGTGAAATTATTTAGTCATAATCCCCAACCACGTCAATCTTTATTTCCTTGGGCTATGCACTTACGAGTTGGTGATATTTTAGTTGCATATTGTGAATTAGGATGTAATGCATCACAAGGACCACAGTTATGTTTAATTGATGGAATTCTGTTATATGATAGTATGTCACATATGATTGGCGTCGATCGTCGTATTCTATATTAGTGAATGACGAATCCAACACAATGAGCTCATCTTAAAATGATTTATATTGAAAAGTTGTTTGATTTGTAATGAAGTTTATTTTCAATAAAATTTCATTTCAAAGAACAGTTGAAATGAAATGCCATTCCATAGACTATTTGAGAACATCGTTTTCTTTAACATTAAGATAATAAATTTTTGAATTTTGTGTTCTAGTTTATAAGAATTCTTCTACATGCTTTGTTGCAGATTTCTTCGAAGAGCAAAAAGAAATTCAGCTGCTAATTCATAACTTGAACTTTGTCTGCAAGTGCGACATTGGAACATGCATAGTTGGCTGTGATTTATTCAATTGAACAAACCTAGAATAGCACTACTCTTTGACGTTGAATCATCAGTTGAGGGTCTCATAATAATATTTCATACGACATGTAATCTCTGAATTGAGCTCTACACAAAATAGCAGGTACCTAATTTGAAACGAAGTATAACATTTGAAGACCTTTCTTCATTATCCTATTTTCACAAACAGATTGGATAATTATCTCAAATAGCAAGTCATACGTACTTATTTATCATTGAGTTACACGAGTTCCAGATAATTTCTAAGGCATAGATGTGGGTGTGTATCACGATGAAGCGAAAGGTGAAATCTATATTCGGCATACACTCACTCGCCTCCTCCACTCTCATGCACATCTAGACAAATACTATGTCCACATTCTAGTTTAGCTTAGAATTTACTGATCATTATTTTGTAAGAGCAGCGTTGTTTGTTAAAAAATAAATAAAACTTGCTATAGTAATTGCAAGAATATTTCATCTAAAAAGAATCGAAGACTTAAAAAATGAATTTATTCATCAAGAATTTCTTGATATTAATTAAAAAGAAGTTTGAAAAAATCAAGACCAATTTGATTCGAAAACTAAATGAAAAAGTTTTCATTTTAAGCCAAGCTAAAATACATCAATAGGACAAGAAATTAAAATAGTAGACTGAGATTAGAGTAAAAATTGAAAAAACTAGAATAAAAAAAATTTCGATACAATCAAAAACTGGGAACGTTCAATTAAAACTATATAAACAGTTCAAAATGTCTTTGAAAATGTAATAAATATGAAGGACATTTCAAATAATATTTCTTCGCTTAAGTTCAAAATAAATGAATGAATAGATGAAATGCTCAATGATTATAAAAATCATCATGGTGTTGTGAACCTTGGCAAATTAAGTATTCAATCAAAAACCAGTAACATGTCTTTCTCATTTACATGATAATTGGCCAAGACAAGGTGTAGTTCGTGTTGAATTATTTTTTAATAAAACAAAATCAATCAGTAAAAAAAGAAAAATTCTTTTTTTGTTTATATAAAATATTTTCTTTTTTTTTGTTTAAACTCTCTTAAGAATGAGGGTTTATATTAAAAGAATCTTATTCAAATTTAAGTATTAATTCTTCAATTGAAAATGACAAAATAAAAACTGCTGAAATTATTGATGAAAAATATAATGATTCTTTATTTGATATTATATTTAATTATTTATTTAATTTTGATTTGATTAATTGAAGAACATCATATTCTTGAATATTCACTTGAATATGGATTTTTACGTTTATCATCTCAAACAAGACAAAGACTTAATATTGAAGTTTTACTACTGACATTAGGTAACAAAAAGAAAAACCAAAACAATTCGAATTATTTTTATCTTAAAAATTTATTTTGCTACAAGATTTAACAAATAATACATGTTTTGGTGGTGCTGTAAATCGATTTATGCTTGATCAATTTCTTGGATATCAAGATATTCTTATGTCGAATATAAAGCAATTAGAAGAAAAAGAAGGTCATAAAGGTAGAAATTATTATTGTTTTTCTTTTTTAATAAAATATTGAAAAATAAAAATTATTTTTAGGTTATGTTCGAAATGTAATGACAAATGATCATTTTCGTTTTGTCAATTCATCATCAAATCATCGATGGTGGACATATTTAGGTGCTTTATTAATTATGATTGTATTTGTATGTTAAATTATTCATTAAAAAAACATTCTTACATCTTTATTTTTATATACAGACAATTAGTATTTCAATGCTTCTTCGTTATTCACATTTTCAAATATTTATTTTTATTGGTTCGTTTATTTTAATTAAATATTTTTTTTGTATAAAATCAAGTATCTTTTTTCTTTTTATAGTTGATTTGTTACGCGTATGATTGAACATAATACATCAATTATCTTTCCTGCTGCACCATTATTAACAGTTATATTAGCATTCATTGGTAAGAAAAGAAGTTTTATTTAAAAAAAAAATCAATTTGTTTTATTTTCTATTAACGTATGGAAGCAATTATGTCAGAATTTTTCAATGATGCATCAATCAGTAATTAATGTGTGCGTTAAAATTGACGAAGGAGAGGTGTAAATTTAACAATCGAAAGAGATATCTGAGATCTATAGTTCAAGATACAATGCAAATAATTATTTTCACACGTCCTAACATTGAGCATGTGAAATCGCGAAGTTATTTTCTTAAATAATAAGAAATTGCATTGATTTTTAACTAAATTTATTTAGTTTTTATCAAATTTTCATTGAAACGACAAGCTACTTTGAGAAAAAAATAAGAAAATTCGGTTAAAAATCAACGCAATTTTCTATTATCTAAGCAAATAAATTCACGATTTCATTTTCTCAACGTTAGGGATCTGTGAAAATAATCATTCACATTGCATCTTAATCTATAGATCTGAAATCTCTCTTTCGATTGTCGAAAATCATAGGTCGCTAGCTGTTGTCATTATCGAGTTATTAAATTTACGCCCATTCTTCTTTAGTTCTAGTGCAAATATTAGTTTGTAATAATTAATTAATATTATTAATCATTTTTTTCTAGCTTTTTATATAATTCTTATTGTCTGAATATCTGATCAATATGATAGTATATGTTGTCATACATCAATAAGTAAACGTCATTGGGTTCGATAAGTTTTTATATTTATTTACTAAAAATAATTTTTGATTATTTTGTAAAGATTTTTATATATATATCATTTTGCATTTTATGCATATCATGCTCTTCTATAATGGTCAATATTCAGGTTTAGCATTAACAACAAGTTGTTGTTTTATTGTTCATTCAATGTTTTATTTTTTCATCATTTTTAATTACCTGTGATTGAGGCTCAACTTGTTCATATATTTGTTGATCAAAATATAGTAACTCAAACAGATGGTGGTGAAACTTTACCACCAACAATAACTTAAANTAGCTTCGATAGTTGGGTATTTTTTATTTGTTGGATAATATTCATTTAAGTTTTTTTTCTTACCTTTGTACAGAAATAAGTTTGATTATGATTTTGTAGAGAATTTCACGGCGCATCTTTTGAAAAAACAATCAGCTTTCAGGATCAAAAAGAAAAAAAAGTTATTGTCAAAATACGGATGCGATCAGAACTTATGACACACCCTTTATACTCAAGTGAGAGTTATTCATAATGAATGATATTTTGTTGTCGTTGACCAGGCTTCACCTTGGAGAACACTTGAAAGATGGTATGATTGGCTTCGTGGAGGATAAGATGAGGTTGAAAATGAAGAAAGACCTAGTAGACTTGTAATTTTACTAATATCTTTCATGATTGTCCTCCAACTCAGCTGTTTCGATATACAGCCAGTGGTTGTGGTTTTAAAATTACGATGATCGTAGATTATTCATTAGATAGTGCCACGACTTAGATAAATTTGATCTCGCAATTTGTCTATTGCAGCACAAGGATTATTCACAAGAAAATAATGGATCTGTTTGGTATTTTCACATGTTATTTAGTTACAGATCTGTTAGATTATGTTCTGTCTTTAATATCCTCTCAACTTCAGATAGTCATTCATTTCATCTTTCAACTGCTCCCAAAAGTGGAGCCCAGTGACTGAAAACAAAAGATAGTACAGAACGGACGTAATTGTAAAAAAGACCGTCTTTTTTCTTATTCATCTAAATCTGAGATGTGAACATCGTGGATCGAACTTCCAATATTTTCATATCAACTAAAGCATGATAAAATATTATAGAATTCTAGAGCACTGTTTTTACTATCAGTACATATATATATATATAGCGAGAGAGAGAAAACCTCTTCAAACCTTCTATAGTCTATTATAGTGCTACTGCCAGTACTTTAAGCATGTTTTACGAATATATGCGCCATTCCATTCTTAGCGACATCTTGTAACTGAATGCAATGTTGAAAACCTGATTCTAAATCGTACAAATCCTGCTTGATGATCATAAAATGATAGCAAAATAGAAAGCCTCGTTGTTTGACCAAATAAGAGTTCTGAAAAACTAGTTTTTGGTAATCAGTTTTTTTTGGGATTGATCGTATTCAAAAATTTCACCATAGATATAGCCTACGATGTGGAATCTATTCTGAAATTCTAGGATTTCTCCTTTATAATGTTGGGAAATTATTCATTAATTGCATTCAATTAATTAACTAATCAGCTTATTCATTTAACCATAAAAAGAATGAAAGTCAAAGAAAAGATGATCATATTCCGTTTTCATTGATTTTTCTCATATACATATATATATTCTTTCGATGCTCAAAACTGTTCAACTAAGTTTTTGTATGGATTATCTTTTCATACGCATTTATACTTATTTTTACAATAACGATTACAGACTTTTTGTTCTTCGTTCTCGATACTTTTTAATGAGAATACATTCTCTTCGAATCAAGAGATTACAGATTTCTAATAGAATACACATAGTTCAATGGTAAATTGATATAATTATTTTATTTAGATTCAATTTCGATTAAGAAGACTTGAACTTGAAAGATTTGAAGAGAAAACTATGACCGATGACAACAATTACACAAGAATATTTAGGAAATCAATTCTTCCAGCAGAATTAATTGATCGAGCAGCTATATTTACAGTTAATCGATTAGGCTTTAATGTGTATATTTGTATGAAAGGCAATATTCATGAATATAGAAGAGCTGCATCCAGTGGTATATAATTATTTATCGTTTATTTTTTCATGAAAAAATTTTATATTAAAAATAGGTGAAAATCGTCATCAAATAGATCGTATATCATCAAATTATAAGGATTGTCCAATATTTTCTGCAATATGTTTACATACATTAGTTAAGACTGATCGTTCTAATCAACATATCAATGATCATGATAAATATTCTGCACTTGAACAAGTGAAACTGTTATTTAAACATTTATTAGATTTTTTTTATTCAAATCAAATAGTTGTTTGTTTTGCGTCAATTAAATCATTTCGAGGTTGTTTAACAAATATTTCATTATTAAAATTTTTTAAAACTCCAATACAAACATATGCATTTACAATGTTAAAAAATGTTGGTTATTCAATTGAACAAAAACTATCTCAACAAAAAAATATTTGTGAATTATTACTTAAATTATCAGAAAATGATGATGATAAATTTTATCGTTTATGTCTTTATTTATTTCGACGATCAACTGAATATCATTTTATAAATGTAAGTAATAAGTAAAAAAATAAAGAATTCTATTTTATTTTTATTGAATATTTAAGCTTGAAAATGAATTAAAAGAAGCTAATAGAGAATATGAAAATCAATTGGAACAATGTCATATATTGAATGAAAAAATGGCAACGATTTTATCACCACCAAGAGAAAAGTATAGTTTTTTATTAGACCTAATGTGAAATAAATGTCGAGATAATACAAAATACTATTGTTTTTTTTTTCTATCTATTAAAATATTTTAGACTTAGACTGAATAAAAACACTTAATGATAAACTTAAGTTTCTTCATGAGCGGCAATTTTTTTTCCGATTCAAAGAGAAAAGAAATGATTCAATATTTTTTCTTTTTATTTAGTTATGCTTATGTTCCATCAATACGTGTAACACCAACAACAATTCAAGTTCAACCTTTAAAACTTGTTAAACTACACCGCGTTCTTCGAGAAAAAAACTTTAATGATCCAATGAGTCTTGCACTTGTAGAAATACGCGATGAAGCTAATAAACCTTTATATGCACGTGATTTTCGTTCATTAAGAGTAAAATTTAAACAAATTCTTACAGAAGGTATTCAAATAAATAAAATGCATTATCGATATTTACATCATTCAATGTCACAAGTTAAAGAAAAACAATTTTGGTTTCTTGATAATCATTATTCATTAGAAAATGTTTTATCATGGATGGGAAATTTTAATAATGAACGTGTTGTTGCAAAACATGCTGCTCGAATTGCTCAATGTTTTACATCAACTGAACCATCTATTAGAGTATAAATATATTAATCAATCTAAATTTCTAATTAAAATTTTCTTTCTATCTATAGATTCCTGCTGAACATGTGAAATATATTCCAGATATTGAAACAGCAGATAAACAGTATTGTTTTACAGATGGTGTTGGTACTTTATCACAGAGATATTGCAAACAGGTTTATCTGAAATTTTCAAATTCTATTTGAATAATATCTTAAATATTTAGGTACAAAAAGCATTAGGAAGACGTTTTATGCCAAGTGTACTACAAATTCGATATGGTGGTTGTAAAGGTTAGATGAAACTCTGAGATGAGAAACAGCAGAAACTTCAATGTTGAAGGCTTCTGAAATCCTACGAAGTCTTTCAAAGTCTTTGAGCTATGGCTTTTAATAAAGAGTGCCCAATAAATTTTATGTCTCAACGAAAAGTAGTTCATATGTATAAACCAAGAGTGGCCCCTATCCAACTATATCTATGTAAGCGTTGAGTGCGTGGAACGAAGTTTTAAATGACATTATCTCTTCTAATATTAGTGATATAAGCAAAAGAAATGTGATAATTAAAATCTCGAAATTTATCAGTATTTTTTAAGACATTTTAATGAACTATGAATTCATCGTATGTCGCATAACACTATTATAGAAACTGATATCTAGTATCTAGAGTGTGCGGGTGACTATCCTCTGTATCCACATCCTAATTATCACATGTCTTTTACTTGTATCAGTATTATTAGGAGAGGACATACCATTTAAAACATCGTTCTAAATACTCGAAGCTTATATAGATATAGTTGGATAGGAATCATTCTTTATTTACAAATAAACTAGTTTTCATTGAGACTCAGAACTTTGAAGACACTCTTTATACGTTGAAGTCTACTGTTTTACCCGAGTCAACTTCTTAGTTATCGTGTCGTTTTTTAGTAAAATGTTCTTGTTATTTTTCTAGGAACTGTTTCAGTTGATCCACGACTTGATGATCAACCTCAACAACTTGTTATTCGTGAATCTATGCTCAAATTTACAAGTGATCATGATCAATTAGAAATTTGTAAAGTTTCTTCACCGCGTAAGTTATTATATAAAATTAATTCTAGTTGAAAAACAAAATTTTTGTCTTTTTTTCCCAAATTAAGGTGCACTTTATCTTAATCGTCAAGATATTCTTCTTCTATCGAATCGTGGTATACCTGAATCACATTTTCTTGTTTTACAAAATGAAAATCATCTATGGCTTGTACAAGCTTTACTATGTTCATCAATTGCATTTGAATTATTGAATGATCGTGTTGGTTCAACATGTTTTAATTTTCGTGATATAGCTAAAGGAATAAATCTTGTTGAAGAACCATTTTTTTTACAACTTATTGTAACATGTGGTCATGATTGTGTATCAAAATTTCAACAACGTGCTAAAATAAAAACAGCAAAAAATAAAGCAAGAAATATGTTTGGAATTGTTGATGAATATGGTGTACTTGAATATGGACAAGTATTTATACAATATAATCATATAAATGATGAAAAATTAGATGTGATTGATAAACCACCAAGTGTACCACCAACAATTTTAGATAATGTTAAAGTTGTAATAACTAAAAATCCTTGTCATCATCCAGGAGATTTAAGAACATTTACAGCTGTTGATAGAGTCGAATTAAGACATCTTGTTGATGTTGTTGTTTTTCCACAAAAAGGTCATCGACCACATCCAAATGAAATATCAGGAAGTGACCTTGATGGTAAATAGAATAAGAATTAAATTAAGAAAAAACAACTAAAACCTATTTTCAATATATATTATTTAATTGTCTTAGGTGATGAATATGCTGTTATATGGGATTCAGATTTAGTACCATCAACAACTAATGATGAACCATTTGATTATGATTCACAAGAGAAACCAATTAAACTTGATCGTCCTGTTGAACGAAATGATATTAATGAAATTGTTCTTGATATAGCTGCACAAAATTTAACTGGTGATATGTCAAATTTACATTTAGCACTAGCTGATTTATTAAGTACACGTCATCCAGAAGTTGTGCGTTTAGCAGGTCTTATTTCACAAGAACTTGATGCACCTAAAACTGGTAAACATCCAATATCCAATGAAGAATTAAATCGTTATCGAATTGATTTACTTAAAGAACGTTATCCAGATTTTATGATGAAAGAACGTTATAAATCATATTTATCAGAAAAAATTATTGGTAGATTAAGAAAAAAAAAAAATTTTTTTTCCCATATAAATATTGATTTGTATTTTTGTTTTTCAGGGCAATTGTATCGATCAGCACGACGTGCAATTATTCGATGGCATAAAGCTGCTCGAACTCATTGTAGTTTACGTCATTTACAAGCAGTACAAATTAAAGATGAATCATTTGATGATGATAATCTTGAGACACCACAGAGTCATATTTCAAATGGTTCACGTAATACATTGCAATGGCAATCATATAACAATACAGGAAATTATCATGAGCCATCATTAACTCTTGATCCTGATTTAAATCATCCATTAGCTAAATCTGAGACACGATGGGCAAGAAATTTATTTTCAATGTATCGTGAAAATTTACGTAATATTATAAGTGTATTTAATTATCAAGATGAAATTGATTTATTTTGTCGATGTGAAGCACTTGATCAAGTAGCATCAGGTAAACAGGATCTTAATATATCAGCTGGTCTTGAATTACAACGATTAATTGATACAACACGTCGTCATTTTTATCATAGTTTTGAACAATTACGTACAGATTCAAATTTCAAACCACTACATGATAATCCATGTACACGTGATTCATCATGTTCTGAATGTGAAGAAATTAAATTAGCACGAGCCGCTGCTTGTTATTATGTTTGTTATTCTCAAGCTGCTAAACAATCAACAAAAGCTCGTTCTCGCATTCTTAGTTTTCCATGGTTATTTGGTACATTATTAACTGAATTAAAAAAACGAAAACAAAATTCTAATAGTAATAATAATAATATATCAAAACATATTGTTATTGGACGTGCAATGCGTAATGTAGCAAAACGATTAATTGAAAATAAAGAATTAAAATTAAAAATTTTTTGGCCTGCTTATTCAGATAAGGCTTATCTTTTTTTACGTTCAATAAAATCAACTATTACAAATAATTCAAAGTTATTCAAACGGGACATTATTGAAAATGATCAACAAACAGATTCAATGTGTTTATCAAAAATTTTATTTATTGAAATAATGAATAATTGGATAAGACAACAAAATGTTTTTGATGAACGTAAGTATTCTATTATTTGAAAAGAAGGAAAAAAATTCTTTTTTTTTTTTTTTTTTTTTAAAGATTCAACTCCTGCAGATAAAAAGCCACGTATTCGTGAAATTTGTTGGCATCAATTGTTGATCAATTTTATTTTATTACCAAATGAAGATATGTCCAATGAAAACCCTTCAAATTTGTCATCAAGTTTTGAACAATATAAAGTTGTCTGCCAATCATTCAATAACCCATTAATGATTGAACGTTATATGGACCATATTGAACGTCGAGTATCGATATCATCCATAGATTTTGATAATTCTATGTATAATTATTGTATATGTTTAATACGTCTTTGTTTTCGATTAGCACGTGAGCAAAAATCAAATGAATATGCGTATTTAAGTGATTATTTAATTCTTGCTTTACAATCAATTGGCATTGAAAAAGAACTCAATGACATTTCGATTGATATTGATACCTAGTCAAATCTATCCGTTTCTGTTTTTTTTTTGTTTTTCTCAGGTCAATGTTGTCGTGAGTTTGTGGTTTTGTTTTTAATATAAATAATTCTATGTAGCTATATATGTATATGTATATTAATACAATTGTTGGTTTCATCAACACATACTCATCAAATCTTACGGGTGATATGTTGTTGTTGTTTTTTTTTTCATCGTTTTTTCTTCGTTATTCGTGATATTCAGTATATTTCAATGTGTATCCAGTTATGTTTGTCTGATGTGATAATCTAAGGAGAAATGACAGTAAAAGCAAATTACTAATACTGTTTTTTTAATTATATGTATGATATCGATGTATTTTTCTCTTGATTATCAATACCGTTGTTTTTGTGTTTTTTTTTCTTGCTAATATGTCTTTCTTTCTTTGTTTTTGTTTTTTTGTAATATGAAAATTATCAATGAGTTAGAAAAAAATCAATATATATTGATTAGAAAAAAGAAAATTAAAGTGAAAATGTTACTTAAAGTTATGAATACATCATATTGTTTTGATTAACGAATAATCAAAGATGGCTATGACATTAGATGCTAATTATTTATTATGGAAAATTCTACGCGAACAAAAAGAAAAAAAATTGCAAACTTCTAAATAATTTGTCTGTTTGTCATCATAATATCGAGTGAGCTAAAATTGACATATGAATAAATCTCTGAATTAAAATTGCTACGTTGGCAAAAATTATATGTCAGGATGATCTATAAAATATGAAGAGGAAAACATTCAGTGTAGTTTTTTTTTTTTTCGTTTCATAAAAGTTTGAATACATCTATGTGAGCCATTGAATGTACGTATAACGGCTTTCAACGCTTGTAATATTATCACTTGCTGACTTGTTTCAATTACTTAAATTATCAATTAAACTCGTAACTTTTCTCGATATTTTCATCAACAGTTTCACTAGTTCGTATTATTGATGCTTATTGACATTTACATTTTAGGAAACATCGTATCATCACTAAAATTAGACAACTTTAAAGCATATTTTGAATGCTTACAAATTGTACAAAATTTCTTTTTATCTTTATTAACTGGTTTTCTCATAATTATATTTTTTCTGCAATCCAAAATCGTAAATTGAACAGCACAAGATGTAGTTGCAATCACTATTTTCGTCATCTATACATTATTATAAGTTACTACTCGTCGTTTCTCAACAAATGATGGTCGTCTAGGAGATCTATGTTCGAATAAAATTTCATCACATCACTGGTTTATTTACAGCTCAAGTGTATAACTGCAGCAATACTTTATTCCATACCAGCAAAACATTTCTGTCATTCTCATTGAAAGACATGAATATTCATTTCGATCACCCAACAAAACGAACATTATCTTCTTGATTCCTCAGTTATAATCTATGCTTAGTTTCCGTTCAAAAAATTCAATAGTCGTCACTTATCTTATTGCTATTAAACATGGTTCTTATTTCATTTATGAATTTAATACAAAAAAATTTCATTGCATCATCATCATCGCGATATTCAACATATTGCTTCTCAACAACAATGATCACCCTTTATTAATATTCTTCCAATATTTACTGCTACTTTTACTGACTTTTCATCAGGTGTACTCAGAGATGAACTCGAAAATATTACAGAAGATGGTGAGAATTCAATAAGAATAATTGATTAAGGACAAAAAACTATTTGTTCACATATTCAACAACAAATTCTAAAGTATAATCATGAATAATCATCATTAGTTAATCATCCATCTGTTGTTGTTGAACCGTTCATATTTGCACCATTATAAAATCAAAATATTCTTTTTACTTATGATACATTCTGGAGTTTTGTTTTACCTATATTCAAATGAAAAATTTGATGAAATTGATGGATACAGAAATTATGATGGGATATTGATGAGCACGTTATTTCTGTTTCTACTGCACATGAAACAAATATGAAAATGATAACAAATAATGAACAGAATGTAAAAGAAGATGAAAATATTGAAAAACTTACTCGATTTTTGAATACATGGAAATCGACAAAAACAGACACTAGTTGAACGAAATGAACAACTGACAAATGATATGATTGAAGATAATTCTTGTGATGCGAAGAAATTGCAAGTGATAAGAGACTGAATTCATGATATGCAAGAAATGAAATATATATTTTCTTTGATTAAAAGTAGCATGTCACCATTAGTAACATACTTTGTTTAAGTTTAATGCTATTTCAATTTTAATTGTTGGATGTTTAGATTTTATCTCGAACATTTCGTCGTCGTTGGATTGATATTTGCATGACTGGTCTTGTTGAATGTATTAAAGAAGCATGAAAATCAACAGCTCATACAATGCGAACACATTAAAGATAAAATGAATATAGTTATCATCCAATAAGTTATTTGGTGATCAATTTCCACCTGTTATTATATGCTCGTCTTTCTGAAGCATTATGTTATTCAAGTCACAAAGTAAAAGTTTTACTTAATAATATTCCAAAACTTGATCCTCACTGTCCACCAAATTGTAAAATAGATGCAAGTGTCGGTCAATCTGAACATTAGATTCTAAATTACTATCAACTATTATTTGACTTAAGTAATAGTTTTTCTATTGTTCGTGATTATGAATAGAAACGTAATATTAAATATGATATAATGATATGATCAAGAGGTAATATAGAGTTTCTTAGAATTCCATGAACATCTGAACAAAATTCACCATATGATATAAGTACTATAGTGATTTTATCATCTAACCGTTCTGATTCGAGAGTATATGATGATTTTGCTATTTGCCCAATTGATGCATTAGAAGTGTATATGAATCGACATTATTCCTTTCAAAAATGTTTAACACGGGATTGACATCCTGAACGTTATCTTTATTTGTATTTGAATTATCAGAAAGTGAAGATGAGTATTGATTAAAAGACATCAATAGGACACATTTCTTATTCTCTGAATCATTATCATTAACAATAAAACGATGTTTTGAATATTATCAAAAACTTGCTCGCTTTTAGAATTTATGCATATTTCAATTTTTATTCTTCTTTTTCTTGTTTTACTCGTAAATAATTGTTTGTTTAATATGAAATAATGTGATTTGTTCTCACTGAATTTCTATAGTTTGTTCTTACATCGATATTGTAATAAATTTGAAACAATAATCAACAATATTAATAATAAAATGTGACACATGCTTACGGCTTGTTTTCATAGATTTTCTAGAGATTTGTTTCATTTTCCTCTTTGTAAATATCTCATTACATCAATAATACTTCAATACAGTAGGTTAGTGTTTATTCAAGCATATACTTGATGTTGATCAAGTTTAATCGCACGTCCAAGTCGTGGTGCTGCTCGTCGTTCTTCTATCGATGAATCGATATCATATGGATATTCGTTTGTTGCATCATCATTTGCATTATAATATTGACCAACATGATTTAATCGTGAACGCATTATATCAACAGCATGTCGACCAAGACGTGGTGCTGCACGACCCAGCCGAGGTGAAGCACGGCCAAGACGTGGTGCTGCTCGTTGAACAAAATCCGAATGATATCGAGATAAGATAGTTGGATAATAATTATTGATAAGTTGATGTTCTTCTAATCGATCGAGGTCGATTGGTTTTGAATGAATACACGAACAGCAAGCTAATTAAAATAAAAGAGATAATAATTAAAATTTATAAATAATATAAAAATATACCAATAATAATAGCTGTCAAGATTAAAAGTCGATTTAATTTTACAATATTGGACACATGTTGAGTAATGCCTTGACAAATCAATCAAAAGTCAAATAAGAAGAATAAAAAAAAAGCAAAGTTTATACCTGTTGATGGTGACATGATGATGACTATCAAGAAATATGAGTATGTCTGAAGGAAATAATGAAATAAAATACTTTCTATTTTTTCTTTTCTTTTTCTCTTTTCTCGCTGTCTACTATTTATTCTAACTCTTCTTTCGAATCAATAATATCGTGGATATAGATTTCTCTTAATATTCCGTACAATTGTTTATTAATTTTTTTCTGTAAATGATAGGTTCTTTTAAATAATGTCTACTAAATAAATTCTGTAGAGTGAGCTGATTCTTTTTCTGCCTCTATTTACAATAGACTCATCAAGTCAAAGAGAAAAAATAAGGAATAAATTAATATAAGAATGAGACATTCTTTTTCTTGGCAATAATATCAATCCTCAACTATCGTAAGCATGCTGCCTTATTCTTTTGTTCATTTTTTATTAGAAATGCAACTATACTATTATATGATGTGCATATTGATTGTGGTATCCGGTACTTGTGTTTTGTGGGTTACAAAAATGTATGAAAATAATCTGAAGACTAATAACATATAATATCAGAAAAATGACAGACATTGAATGAGAACAAGCAACAGATATAGATAGATAACGTTGAAAATAACTAGAGAATGCTCATTACAATTTTAACGTTTTCCATCTAGTAATTCTACAAATCATAAGAAAAGAATGATATTATTTTTTTTTGAATAAAAATTTGAAATATTCTTTTCTTTGTTTGCTATACAAACAATAACATTCAGCGAAATAGTATAAATTAATTAGAAATAGAATAATTTGAAACTGTTTCATAAAAAATTAAATTTGCTAGATGGCAAAAATATGTATATATTTTATTAACAGACAAAAAAGAAAGTCTCTCCGCAAAAAAAGTAAACATTTCGAGTATGCAAATATGAAAAAAGCATGATGAAAAAAGATTTAAGCATTATCAAATTGTTTTTTCGAAGTCAAACATTTATATCAAACTTACATATTCACACTAAAATTTTAAAAAGTTAAAACATTATTCGACATCAATGTTTATATTAACTTAGAGTCGGTCGAAAAAGAAAAGTTTAAAACTATAAATTTCATTTGAAAAGAAAAAATATCTCATCTATTTTTTTAATTGACTTTATAAGAACTATGTTTGATTAATTAGTTTCATTGAAAAAATTTTAAAATACATCACTACCCAAAAATAGAAATAAAACAACTATTGAATATATGATAAAATATATTTGAATTAGAAAAAAGTAATTATTATCAATTGTATGTATCTAATACATATTGGACTTTAAGTGTATGCTTAATCACTATCTTCTATCTGAGCAGACTTTTGATAAATATAATACTATATCATTAGTAATCTTATTCATATAGGATTAAGAAAATATTAAATCTAGTTCGTCTTCTTATTCGAACACAAAAACCATACATGTCTCATACAGAATTCTTAGTCTTGTTTTGACTGGTGAGATATTCCCGTCTTTCTATCTTTGTTTTTTCTTTAAAAAAGAGATTGAAAATTGGAATTAAGATTAAACAAAAATGTATTTATTTTTGCCACGACAAAACAAGAACTCATTAATAAGTTCATTTTTTTGGAACAAATGAAAATTGTTAATTATCTTTGAACTTAAAGAAAAGGAGAATAGGAGAATTCACATGGCAAATTAAGGAAATAAACTGAATAAAAACGAATATAATAGAGAATTAATGATTCAAACTTTGGGAACTGTGGTACATGCACTGTACCATCTTTTTTTCTCAATAAAGAAAAAATTGTTTTCTTTACATTAAAATGTTAGACCTACAAAGTCATAGGTTATTACATTTGTCATCTATTAGATACTTTTTCTTTCTTTCTGTCATATAGACTCATCTTAGATTCCTTGTTCTTTCTGCTCCTGTACATTAAAATCATGATTTCTCTGAAAAATAGTCAACTTATTACAATTGACTGTCCAAAAGCAATAAACAATCACAATCAGCCCGTACATGGAACTAATCAACGCAACTAAAGAGTACTCTACTATACTCTTGATCAAAAGTCTACAAAAAACTGACTTTACCTTTTTGTTCACTTTCTCAATGTATTTATTAGCTCAGGATGAATTATCATACTTGAACTACATGATTTCAGTGACGAGGTTACTCAGCTCTAGTGCTGAGTAGATAAATCTTGAAAGACACTCTTCTGAGCAGAGAAGCCTAAACTAGCATCACCACAATCGATTCTTCATGTTAATAATGAAGTGCATTTGCCTGTAAAAGAAAGACAAAGAAGATGTACCTACTAGAATACAAAAGGGCTACAAATTAGATCCAACATCGAATGTATATACTGGCGAATCAGCATTCTATTTACAAGATGAGAAGAAAAGTTGTTTTTTTTTAATTATCATAAAGTTTTTACGTAATCATTTTGCGCCTAATAATGTAAATTGATTGAAAAAAAATTTCGTCTCCAAAGGATTAAAATAAAATAGATATAGTCGAAGTGTATCTGCACTCCGAATAGTTCGATGAGTGCAGTGATATAATGATCAAGTACTTCATATACAAACTTTTATAATTAAACTTCCATGAACCAAAGTTCTTGATTAATTACAGTCAAAACTTGCTCAAAAATATAACCAGCATGTTAATGACTAATGAGCTTATTTTCTAATAAAAGAACATCCTTTGCCGTCTTAATTCATTTCTAAAAGTTTTTGTATCATAAAATCAGTAAATATTTCTTTGTAAATGTTATCTTCATATGGAAGTTCATAAGCATAGTTTTTTCTTAGCAGAAAGTTTTTTCTGCTAAAACTACTGCTATCAATTTCACCATTTTTCTATAGTTTTACTTTCACTATAATCTACTTACATAATTCAATTCATCGAAGCGTTGTAATGCAGAAGTTAGAGCGCTGTATTTTATCTCTTCATTTAAAATATTTCACAACTAGTTTTAGATATCAATCGTAACATCATTAAAAATTAAGCATGCCTTTTCAACTGCTGTTATTCTTATTTATTGGATTTAAACATAATATAAAGGCTATACGAACGATGTTTTCTCACAAATGATGATATAATCTTTCAAACTAAATATGTATTAGACTTTTTATCTTTCACATGAACAAGCGATAGCTTCGAGCTTTCCTTTTTTTGTCTTAAGCAGTTTTTCCATTAACAATTGTTTTTCTTTCATGAGTTGGTACTGGACAAGGTTACCAATAAAAATGCTGGTAGTATAAACATTAAACGAAACTAAAATCTCAATTGATGAAAATACAGTAGTTTTTTCATTCATTTGTAAATGTCATCATATTTATCGCCTAAGAATCAAACCCTCTCCATTTTGAAATTAGTTAAATCTTTAATGCTACCTTCATTATAATTTTTTTTTCTTTCGAATTTGAATCAATATAATCAAAGTTTTTCAGAATCTGGTGATCAAAAATTATATTAGTTTTCCTACGTGTATTATGATTTCGAATGAAACTAAGGAATTTTAGTTCTTCTATACAAGGCACATATCCTATCCGCTAATTGCTATGATCATATATTAATTGGCTTGATCTCATAATGCACAACGTTGCATATGAGTGAGTGTGTCATACATGTTAAACTTGAAGCTTGAATTCAACTCTTCAATAATCCTACACATATTTAGCGAGGAAGTAAGCGCTATTCGCCGACTAACCAGCTTTTTATGTTAGCGTCCTGGTATGGGGTCGCGAAGTTTCTCCTATAGAGCCGCAACCCATGCATATCTCTACCAACACAGAAATTGAAGTGTGTCATTCTTAGGCCCATACATGTTAAGTTGGAAACTTGAATTCTTGAAAATTTCAATTGAATTCAAGTTTCAAGTTTTACACTACTGGAGAGTGTATGGATGGGTATCCTATAGAAATTCTAAAGTCATATTTTGTAAAATTGTTCTCTGACCTAAATCTATCTCAATAAAAGCCTTGATAGATATATAATGATACAATTTATTTTATTGAAAAATAAAGAAATGTTTTTTCTAAATGAAATCAATGAAATAGTTCTGAAAAATTATGTGCGCCCTCTATCCTTGTATGCAATTGCAGTAAATTGTCTTGAATCGAAAACAGATTTTTAAAGGTGATTCATTATTGACAACTAACGAATGAGTGAATGAACGAAGGGGACTAAAGTTTGATTGTGATGTTTTCATAAAATGTAATGTGAAGATAATTGTGCAATTCTGATTATCTACCAATATTTAACATTTTATTTTCTATTCTAATATAATACTCATGTAAAATAATTTCACAATCATCATTCAAGTTATGAAAGAATCCATGTTTTTAAGTTATTCGTAACTTTTGAAAAATCTTTATTTATCTATTTATTCTTGACTTTTATTATGGCAAGTGCAAATTCTTATAATGACCGACGACAACGTAGGAAAAAGCGTTCACTTAGTGCACCGTTCGGCATACAAATTCCATCATCACTTAAAGATCCAACAGATACATTTTTTTCATGCAAACAACTTGAATATTTGACAAATGATGATAATGCGCGTAATATTGCTCTTAATCATTTACATAATCATGAACACTTTGCAAGAGTATGGAATTTAACAACAATTCATCCAAATACAAGACGTTTGATGCGTAAAGTTGTACAAATACAAACAATCAATGCTGTGTGCAATGGGTACAAACAAAAAAAAAAGAATTTAGTCCCTTTTTTCAAACAGTCTTATTTTATTAATTTATTTAGATTTTATCGACTTCTTGATAGTACGAAAATAGATTTGAACAAGAATAAAATGGAATATGCTGCTCAAAATACTCGACAGTATGGTAATGATTATGAATATGATACAGTTCTTCAACAACATACTTATGAACAATCATATCAAGTGTTTGTTATTGATGGTGATTGTCTTGATGTTCTTATGTGTTTCAAAGCTAAATATCCGAAATCGAATCCAGTTGTACTAAATATGGCTTCAGCTAGAAATCCCGGTGGTGGTTGGAAAAATGGTGCGTGTATCTGAATATATATCT